CTTGCGTTCTATCACACCGTTTGAAAACTAAATTGCGATTACTGCGACTCTCGCGGCTCTCGTGAGAACAGAAAAGAAAAAAGAGAGAACTGTATACTCGTGTCTCTTCTTCTCTTCTCTTTCTGATAAAATTTATATATATAGTGTAATAAGCAAAACGATTGTTTCTTTATGGTAAAGTAGCTGTCTCTCTCTCTCTCATTCCCCGCTAGTGCGTCAAAGATTTATATAGTATAGGGAAGATTCATGGTATATTTCACTAATGTGAACTCCAAAAAGAGAGAAGATTAAATTGTACAAATACACAACACAGTGTTCTTTTTTTTATAGTCAAAATTAGTGCATACAACGGTGTTTCTTATAGCAATTCTTTTCTCTTTTTCTTGTGTCCATCTGCTAATAGTTTTATTTTGCTTAGTGTACGATAGTCATCGAAATTAACCTTGGTCATTTGATCCACCATATATTAATGCGAATCAAAATGAATTATAAAATAATTATGAGTAAAACTTTTTTTTCAATATAGTTTAACTTATTGACATGTATTATTTTTAAAAAATCTGACACTGAAACATCCGTTACAATTGTACTCAAATCAAACTTGAATAATCGAATAATCTATAGTTCAAAATTTAACTTAACAATTCTCAGTATGATTTCATAGAGTGTTAAAATAGTGTTAGAGCACATGTATAAGATTTTCAAAATCATTTAGTTCAAAACTTTTTCATTTAACAAATGTCTTTTAATATAATTTCGTATAATTGCATTTTTCTAAACGATGTATATTTTTCATTTCTTATACTAGTCTCAGAGAAATGACATGTGTGTTTTCTTCTCCCAGCGGGTTCATGGGCGTAAACTAAATTTTGAAATTATTGTTAAATTTGAGATTAAATGAAAAAAAAAATTGCTAGTATAATTTACTTATATTTGGACTATAGTACAAGCAAGTCAAATAGACTGTCAAGAAAACAGACTGATGTACAAACGCACGTAATGGACTAATGGTTTTAAAGTCAACAAAGAAACGAATTAAAACTTTCAACAATATACACGAATAGCAATATGCAGACATTCATAACTATAAAATAGCGTCATATATTATTTGTCAGTCGGATAGTCTTAAAAAATTATATCTTTAAACTTTAAGATGAGAATACATAGGTCTTTATTTCCAATTATATGTAGAGAATACCGTCTCAGTCGTGTCGTTTCTCCTCATCGTGAAATAAAATATAAAATACACTATACACTTTCTTTCATATGAATGAATAGGCTAGCTCTTATTGTTTATCATATACGTTCACTTTCAATTGATCGTGTTTCTCATCTGATTGAATATTTTTCAACGTAAGATCTTTGCTATTATTATTATTCGCTCAGAGGATACAAACGGATCTATATATAGCAAAAACAGTCAGAGAATGAATCTGTGGTGTAAGTTTTTGGTTTTTATTACAATTATTGTATTCTTTTATGCAGAAATTTTTCATTTCGTCTGTTCCGAGTTTAATCTTTTTCTTTATCTCTAATGTTGAGAAAAGTAAAAATGAGACAACTGAACATGGTCAATTTCCGATTATCTCTTATAGCGCCGAATCAGACAGTTTCAGAGTGTTTGTTAATGTTTGTACGAATGTACGTTGCAAACAACAATCGATTCATTTTCTGAAAGAGAAAATTTATACATAAAATCGAACAACGGTCGTTTCGTTTTAATAAGGAAAAAATAAAATCACCGTGAGAACAGGAAAAACGTTCATTTTTTCGTGTTCAGAGGAGAAAAAAAATAGTTATTGAGTGAAAATTTTAGAATTAATCAAGGCTTAAATAGGATTTTGTTGTGTTTTTGATCTATTAGACTGGGATATTTGACTATTATGCACTATAGAGGGCGCTATTTTACAAATACAATAATTTTAATAAAATAATAATTGATAAAAGACAATAAAATCCCATTTAATCATTCTTTAATTTTAGAACTTATCCCGTGAGGTTTTCTTGCAATCGAAATAAGTATGTTTTTCTTTCGTATAGGTATTCTGCTTATGCAATTTTAAATAGAACATTTTGGTCTCTTTTTTTCGGAATTCTATGTATTTTAAGGCAAATAGTAGAATTTTTCTGTAAAGAAAGACATTTAATGAAAAAGACAATTGGCGCTATAACCATTGATAATCAAACTGTACTCATGCTCTTTGAACTTTTATCCACACTTCCCTGGACTTATATGATATTTTACACTTTATCTTTAAAGTAGTGTGTAATTCTTATGTTCCTTTCCTAACTGTTTATTAGCTGAAATCTACGGAAATGCCTTTGGAAAAAACGAAAAAATATGAAATTTCTTATGAAAAATGAAATAATCTAACTAATCTGTTTCTTTAAAGATGAACATTGCACTATAATACGGAGAGAGGTTCAAATATTAGTAAATTACTGTAAGTGACCAAAAAAGTTTTGATGATAAATTTTTATTTATTAAGTTTGTTTGTTCTTTTGTGTTCTTTATATCGTTCACTTCATTTGGCTGATTATCGCCATTATCCTTATGTATAAATGGTGACATATATATATGTAGAGAGAGGGGAGGTTTCATAGCGGTGTTACGTTTTTCTTTATTATTTTTTTTTTTTTTTTATTGTAGTGGTGGTTGTGATCTCTTTTTCACAACTAACTCAGAACATACAAATATCTACACACGTGTGAGTGCTCTGTGCTTTCTTATTCCTATGTTTATTAACAAAAAAAAAATCTTTCTTCTCTTCTTTTGCTTCTTCTCCTTTTATTTTACATGGTAAGGCGTTCTTTTGTTTCGTTTGATACGTTTTTTATAAGTATATGGTGTGTGTGTGTGTGTGTATGTATATCCTCTTAATGCAATTTTTTAACTTGTTAATGTTCCGTTAATTTCCATTTATTAGAACTTTATTACAATCAAACTTGTGCTTCTGTTATTATTAAAACAGAAGTTATGTATTACAGCAAAAATCTCTTTGGATTTGTTTGTTTCTGCAAAATTTTTCTCTCTTCTTTTTTTTCTCTCTGGTTTATTTTTTCATAGTAGATAGTCTCTCTAACCCTCAAAAAAAAAAAAAACTCGCTAAGAGAAAAATAGAAATATCACGTCTCTTTGACTGTGTTGTTGTCTTTTTCAAGTCTATTATTAAATATTACGCATAGGCATTCAGTAACGAACAATCGATGTCCGTATATGTGTGTATCTATGTGTTTTGCGTCATAGATAGTCTATACATAATCGAGAGAGGAGAGAGAAAGATTCATATCGTATAGATGGCTGTTTATTTTGAACGATGACCGATACATATAGTTAGAGAAGAATAAGTGTCATAGTTTTATTTTATATAGAAGACTATCCGTTGGATGCTAAATATTTTAGTTTATCCCTCACTTATTTTTCGTATATATTGTTTTAACGTTACAAGAATTTTCAAACATAACGTTTTAGTTTTTTGTTCAGCATGTAAGTGCTAAACTAAAAGTAGAAAATAAGAACAAAAAAATTGTTTCATTACATCGGATTGATTTTTCGTTTTGTTTTTTGCATTACTCAATGTCTCATATCTCTTCATAAATATGAGTGTTCTCCGTTTTTATATCGCAAGGAGACCAGTTAATTGGGTCTTTTATGAGTAACCAAAGTTACCTAGAAAAGTTATTCTATTTTTAATAATATCTTTTATTCATAAACATTCGTCAAAATACACTTTTTTTTTCATTTTAGCTATTGAGTGTTTCAATAACTATGTTATTTTCAAATTTCAAATATAAATACAATATCGGTTTTATTAATTAACCTCGGATTTTTGTCGTTCGGAAATTGAGCAAATTATCAGTATTTTATAAAGATCTATGCAAAAATCAATGCTATTTTGCTTTAAGTTACAATAACATAGAACGATGTATGTTACTAGCACCAATTTAATTTAGCATTGTTACTGATAAAATTAAAAACCCTCAAAAGTATCTAAATTATTTAATGAACAAAAATATATATAAGAAACCGACATAAGTTTATTTGTTTCTCTCTCTCTCTCACACACACACACACGCACACACAGTTTAATCAGTAGTAAACAAACAGGGATCCTATTTGTCCTTGGAGAACAAGTGGATTTCGAAAATTTTAAACATTCATGTGTCAATGATGATTATTTTAAGGATAACAAGAAATTCGATCTTTTTTTCTTTCTCCGATTCACCTATATTATCCTCCTAAAAACAGTGAGGACACACAAATTTTTCTCTTTTTTTTTTTTTTTGTTTTTTCACCGGAGATATGTTCATACTGCAAAAAAAAAAAAAATTGAACTCTCCTTATACGATTGAACATGCGCGGTCGATGGATACATATGTATGTATGCTTATATGTATATGTTTTCTTTTGTTCCTCATTTCTATCTCTCTTTCTCTCTACTTATAATTATATATTCTCTCTTGATTTTTCTCTTCTTCTGTCCCGTTTGTGCATTACTCTCTTTTATTTTTTTTTGCGTTCTTACCATAGATATATATTTTAAAATATGTTCCCCTAAAGTTTTGTACCAACAAACTCAATGTGATCATCCATCATTGCATGAAAACCGTAATGATCATATAGTGTGGAGAAAAGAAGAAAAAAAAAAACGAGAGAGAGAAGAAGAAGAAGAAGAAGAAGAAAAAAAGAGAAAGGAAAACAACAACCATCATCACACACAAAAACAACAAAAAAAAAGTTATATATAAAAAGACCAAAAGAAGATTTTTTATAAACGCGAACAGTACATACTTCCCTGAATCTAATACACACTTTATTTTTTTGAAAAAAAAATTAGCAGATAGCAGACAAATTATTAATTTTATTTTATATATATATATTTTTTGATCCGACGAAAAAGAGTGAGAAGAAAAAGAGGAGAAGAAATAGTAGTTCGGATGCTATGATATCTCTTAATTGAATTCTGCTTTTGATTTTTAGATAGATAATGATCTATTCAATGTCACATTATATTGTTCAACCTACAACAACGACTATAACTGCTACTACTACTACTACTACATTATTTAACAATCAACAACAAGAACAAAAACCACCTCGTGCACAATCGCCCTCATTTATTCGTAAAAGAAATTTAAAACAATTAGCGTGTCAACAACAATTATTACTTCAAAATGATATCGGAGATCTTCGTAGTGATCTTCAAACTGATTCTTCTTCATCATCTTCATCATTTTCTTCTGCATCATCGTCACCAATTACTTCGTTGCCAACATCGACATCGTCTACTGTAGTCACATGTGATTTATTAAATGTAATAACAGATCAACGTTTTAAACCGGTATTCGAAGCTATCGATGAAATAAAAAAACGTAAATGTCGTCCAGATTTAGATCGTATTATTAAATATGTCACAAAACGTAATAATAATTATTTAAGAAATGATATATTAATAATCATTGATGAACTATTAAAGTTAGGTTTAGTAACGAAAATATTTCATAAAGGCGGTTTTACAATTCGTATAAAAAATGATAAATGTGCAAAATTAATTGAACGTATGAATAATTTTAATATTCAAAAATCAGTCATATCTTCTTCCCCATCATCCATGCATTTAAGTGATAATACAAATCAACAACAACAAGTACTAATGCAAACAATAACACCTACACAACTTGTTTTGAATTCTAATGAAGAAAATACTCATACATCAAATTTAATTGTTATTGAACAAAAACCAAATATGAAAGAAAATAAAATTAATAATGATGGAAAATTCTTATTACCATTACCGCCACCACCACCATCTCCCATTATTCCCTTATCACAATCAGTAATATCAACAAAACGAACAAGAAATAGTAAAAAAACTGCTAAAGTTAAAAAACGTAAATTAACACAGTCCATATCTAGTTTAGATATTGAATTTAAAACATTACCCGTAGTCACTTATAAACAATCATCATCATCATCGTCCATTCTAACAATGGAATTAATACTTGGATTAAATGGTGAAATACCTGATGTACATTCATGGACAACAGATGATTTAAATAAATTTTTTACATTAAACGGCTACGATTACGCATCTCAAGTATTTAAAAAGTATCGTATTAATGGAAATAATTTCTATTCGTTAAATAAAGAATTAGTATTTAAAAAATCAATGTTAAAGGTTGGTAAAGCATTAAAACTTTGGAATATTATTCAACAGATACAACAGAATCAATCATTACGTGTTTCTTGACTATGTACGGCTATTTATTTGTTTTTTATCTTCAAATAAAAACGCAAGTAATTTTTGTAAAAACTAGCTCTCTAATATTGCATAAATATATTTTGCTTCGATGTCATAATGTTTTCTTTTTCTTTTCGAGTTATTATCACTCATGAAATTGAAAGCAGAACATATTAAGTATTTTTACTCGAATTTTTAAAGAGCATAGTAGAACATACAAATCTTTCTACGTTGTCTAAGATCTTTGTATCAATGAATAGTGTAATTAAATTGTGATGATCGTCTCATTTAATTTATTCATCTAAAATTACTCTGTTTCCTGGGAATCTACAATTTATGCGCTTTTTATAGTATCAGAAACATTGTTCTGTCTAAAATATCTAGTAGTCTTCTAACTATAACCGACTTGCGTATAAGTTGCAAAAATTGACTACCAGTACAGTTATAAAACACACTTTCATTGCCAAAATACTTGGTCTAGCTTAAAGGGATTACATATTTAATCACTCTGTGTGGGACAGTATAATGTTGTCTATGAACAATTGTATGTATAATTATGACTAATAATTACTAATTCTGACAAAAATTTCTTCATACACAGTTTTTCGGATTTTTCCACATTATGACGGAACAGCAAATTGACATATTAAGATTATTTTTTTTTTTTTAAACAACAATGCTTTTCTGTTGGCTGCAGCGTAAAAATAAGAAAAAATAACCCGATACATGTAAGCCATTCTGTTTTGTTCCTCATATTTACAAATATATTTATTTATTTTCAGCACTCTTTCTATAAAGAAACAATGATAAAGAATTTCAATACATTTAACATTTGTTAAAATGTGATTTGCTTTGTTTTTTATTCAATATATGTCTGTTATACATATAACATAAGTAAAGAAAACGATTATCAGCAAGTAGATTTTTAGATGGGGAGGGGACCATAAAACCGATAAAACTCTTATTTTATTAGACGTTTATCGATAAAACGGTAGTATGTGCGCTAAGAAGAGTTCATCAAACTGATACCAAATTAAGTGTGTTAATGTCTTTCCATGTAAACGCGTCATAGATTTTACTGATGAAGAAACCTTTCCTAGTGCCACATCAACTTTTTCTTTAAACTTGGTTATGGATGACCTTTTATACTGCAGATGAGTCTGATATTTATTCACCCTCTGAAGGGCTTTCCTTTTCAGAACGTCTATTCAAATTCTTGTTCTATAGAAATATATCACGGGCTTTCATCTAAACAAATTCTGTTAGTGCCGGTCTGTAGAGCATATCAGCTTACAAATTATTGGAACTAACGAACAAGTTTTAAACGAGTCATAAGTTTTAGTTGAAAAAATACATCAGTCACTCTTATTTCGCCTCGATACTAAACTGAAATTTTTATAACTCGTTTAAAACTTGTGTGTTAGTTCCAGTAACTTCTAAATTGACATGCTCTACAGTCCGGCACTAACAGAATTTGTTTAGATGAAAGTCCGTGATATATTTCTATAGAACAAGAATTTGAACAGACGTTCTGAAAAGGAAGGCCCCTCAGAGAGTGAACAAATATCAGACTCATCTGCAGTATAAAAGATCATCCATAGTCAAGTTTAAAGAAAAGGTTGAAGTGACACTAGGGAACAGAAATCCTTCAGACGTTTCCAATTAATTATGGTTAATTGTGATTTAAAACTGGTGCTCATTACATCCACATCACAGATTATAATTAAAATTAGCTTTAATGTATGAGTTGACGTAATCGTGATGAAGAGTAGCATAATATTAGCTATTATCACACGATATTAAAACTACAACATTTAACAAAAATAAATGTAAAGAAATTTTCATTACAGTAGAATGAATTATTCACATTTATGACTGATTGTCCCAGTCAAATCAAATTGATAGGTTTAACTACAAACTGTTCATAACTCCATTAATGTAACTTAGAGGTGGACAAGTTAGATCAGTTTCCAATTCAGATCCCATAGAAAATATTTTGCTTAGATAATAATAGTGTCTGTCTCATTATTAAAAATACAAGTTAAAACGTCATATATTAATGAGAACAAGAAAACCAAATGAAAACAAAATTATTATAAAATTAAACTATAATTACGTTTCAATAATATTAAATGTAAAGGTGTATCTTTTGATATTGCAGCTCTATGTGATCTCATATAATTTCATAATTAATTTACATCAACAAAATTAGATAGACAAAAAAACGGGGCAATTATCAAACTAATCAATACTATTGGAGTAGTGAGACAATTAAACGATATGGGTTTAAAAAATCGTCTCACTATTCGTGAACTTTTCTACGGATTTTACCATCAATAGCCATCCTGACAGTTGGTTAAACTACCATAGAAGTATTCTGTTGAAAACCACAGCACAAGTATGTTGTGCTTATGGTTTAACTTAATAAATCGCGTTTAAAATCGAACACATTCAACTTAATATCTACTACTAGTTGATTAGAATACAATATTACATCCTTTAATAAACATGTGATGTTTACTCAGTATTTATGTTACAATAGAAATAACTAGTGATACATGAAAAAAAACGTGGTCTGCGTTAATCGTGTCAGGATGGTAAATGTCCGAACATCTGACGAAATTCATGGATTGGTTTTACAAATCAAAAGAGGATGGTCAATTTGTCGATGTAGCTTCTTTGGTTGACATGTTACAAAAAACAAGATGTACAGAACCCGCTTTCTATAGAACAGTCAAATTATCTCCAACTTTTCCATTCTAAATGCTTTCAATCGTTGAAAAATCCTTGTATCAAGCTAAAACTATCTCTTACTCTCTAAAAAATTTTCATATTCTACAAAACCAAAGAAAAGATATTTTCATACCGGGACACCCTTTTTAGAATCTCTGAGTGACAAATGGAGGTACCCTCTGCTTTTTGGTTCTGTAGAATCAGAAATGCCCTCAAAGGAATTCTATAAAACTAAAAAGGTAAACTGAAATACCAAAAGGGTATTGTAAAATACGGTTAAAATTATTTCTGGTTCTACCGAACCAATAAAAGAGGGTACCTGCATTTCCCACTCAGAGATTCCAAAAAGGATATCCCAACATGAAAACACCTTTTTTGGTTCTGTAAGATATGAAATCTTTTTAGACACTCCGCCGACGTTGCATGATAAGTAAACCGCCAAAAATCACAGATCATGGTATATATTATTGGTATTATCAATATTTGGTTTATCATAAATAATAATTCTAATCTTATCAGTTATCATTCTACAATCCAATTCATTAGAGAAAAGAAGTATTCTACACAATATCATTGTAGAAAAGAGTGTCAATCAGCTAGATACCATTTGTTTTTTTGTAAAGCGACGAGTACTATCACAATTTTCATGATAATAGAAGAAAAATAAAAAGCACAAATATAAAAGAGCGTATGAGAAGCATTGACTGAGGTAATCGGATAGAAGAGTTTTTATCGGTCCACCTTTATTTTAAAATTTTTCACTTCAACCATAATACCTAGAACAAATTTGAAAAAAATTGACGTAGTATATATAAAGGTTCCTTCAAAATTTCTGAAACCAGGGCTACTGGAAAACCCAAATCTCAAAAGAACACGTTTGAACGAAAAACTTTTTACAGATAATCCTGTCGTATATAGAGCAAACATTTCTGAACAAAATGCGACATCTCCGAGCTCTCTACGGCGTTTTTTCATGAAACAATATCCAATTTACGAAAGATCTCACACCACCAAAAGCATATCCACCAAACTACGATATTAATTGTGCACATGTTGTCTCATATTTGGCTTGTATTGATACTATTTGAATTGTCTGATGTAATTCTTCTTTTGACTTGATTAACAAAAATGCTTAAATTTATATATCAATACATATAATCTTAATATACGATCCTATATATCACGAATTTTTCTGACGTTTTATTTGTAACACTTTGATATTTTAAGATGGAGAAATGACAGCATCTAAGTGGTAAATAGAATAATAGAAAATGTATTTTAAAAAATCATACTTTTTTCCATTCGATCAATGTGTTTCATTTCTTGTATCAAATATTTGGGCTCTTTTCCTTGCAATATCGCGTTTGGCTTTTTTAATTCATATTTACGAGCTTCGTTGCCTATATAAAGATAAATGTTATTTAATGACCGCCGACAAACTCGGTAATCATTACTTACGAACTTCATCGATAAGATTGATGAACTTCTCACTTTTTGTCGTATTAATACTTCGCCGTTTCGTACTTCAGCACGTTTAACTCTTTCAAAAAGATTTTTCAAACACTTAAAATACTATAGAAACATGTACGAGAATTTGATTTTAATAAAGCGATGCGACTGCGTTTATCAGTTAGATCAAGGCTTGCACTAATGAGGAAATCATGCGATACCACCGGATATCAGATTCGTGATCAACATCAGAAGTCATAAATGTGTCTCGAGAGAAAAATAATTGGACACTTGAGATGGTTATCTCGCAAGTGTTTCTTAATGTGTGTCATTGATAAAAATCTAACTCCAAAGTTTTTTGGTTTAAAATACTTTTCTTTACAAAATGAGAGGTTCATATTTTCATTTGATAAGGAAAAAACAAGAAAAATATTGACAAATTTCACTTTTATATTTTTAGTAAAATAGTCTTTATGTTAAAAGTCAGATTAAAGCAGAATGTTTAAATGACTCATTTTGTAGAGAAAAATTTTAAAAAAATGTTACAATTTTATATGGTCATTAATAATTGATATCAAGTATTTTGAGAGATACAATTATTTTTGAAAATGCACTAAAATCAATTCTGGCATTAGTGCATTCCTCATTACATCAATTGTTCAAATCAAACTCGGAGTATTAAGTTTTTGCGTCATTTTTTTATACATAGTCAAATCTGAGAAGGATATCGAAACTATATAATGATACATCATACTTAAGGTCTCAGAAAATAAAATCAGAATTGCAAATTATGCAGATCTGATCTATATCTCTCCTATGAGCCAAAAGTTTGTCATAAAAAGTCAATATTACACCGATACACCTGTTGGCCCAGTCATTTTTTTAACTTAATAGCAGACAAAAAAAGAATAACAAATAATCTTATAACAATAATCACCAAGAAAAAATTTGTAATAAATTCATAGCAAGCTCAGCTTTCTGTACAACAAACACTTAATAACCAACATTTCCCTTTCAGTTTCCAAAAAAATAATACACAAAAAGAAAAAAAACCTTAAATCATTCAAAATGTGAAAAGAATAGTGATTGTAATAACAACAACAAAAAGAAAAGATCTCCTTCTAGATAAATTACATGAAATAAACAAAAACTTTCACACTGAAAGACAGAGAGTAAGAAAAGTAAAAGTATGAGTCGATCCAGATGGATATACAATGGCGGCAAAAATTTTCCGTACATCCTAAATGTTTTTTTCTTTTGATTACACAACTCGATAATGAAGAAAAGCTTTTGACAAACAATTTGCACCAAAATATTATCCGCTCTTTCTAGTGTATTTTGTTTACGTTGTACAAGTACCAACAAAATATGAAAACTTCCATCAATCGAAAGAAGAGAGCGAACGCGAGCTACATTTCGGTAAAAAAATAATTTTGAAAAGTGTTTTTCTTTAGAGTGGAAACGCGACTTTAAAGCTAAAATTAATATACTCTTCAGTTGATTTCTCAACCTCAATAACGTGTGGATGAGAAAAACTGTACTTAAACTATTCGAAACAGCATCGATCACGTCAATTTTTCGATTAAAAGATGGATCAAATTCGACCATTTAACTTCCAGACTATATTCAACTTACTTAGTTTTTGACGCTGTTTCGAATGACTAGAATGACTGTTTCGAAATGTAGTCCGCACTCACTCTCTTCTATCGATTGATGGAAGTTTTCATATTTTGTCAGTACTTGTACAACATAAAAAAAAAAGAAAGGGCGGACAATATTTTGGTGCAAATCGCTTGTCAAAAGCGTTTTTTATTACCGAGTTATGATCAAAAGAAAAAAACATTTGAGATGTACGGAAAATTTTTGCTGCCATTGTATATAAAGATAAATAAAAAATAAATATCGTCAGCTGAATGCCACCATCAGACGATAAAAGTCACTTTTTACAGATGATATTACAAATAGTTTAGATTTAGTTCTTCCAAATCTCAGTTCTTTTAATTGTTCACCAAATCTTGTCAACATTTCACCAAGTTTTGGTAATTTTTCTATTAGTAAACGTAATGATTGACTATATGATGTTTCATCTTCGATATTGAGTGTTGTAATAAATGTCATCAATACTACATCAGTTAAATCAAATACAAATACTTCAATACGACTCTTCGATGTAAACAAGGGCAATATATGAGATAGTTTATATTGTACCTAAAGGTCGAAAGAGCAATTAATCACTTTATTATTATTGTATGACACTTATGGTGATATGACAGTAAGATAATATAAAAAAATTGTTTTACTTGATTTTCAATTTTTTTCTTATTAATTAATTTTGGATTTTGTTCATAATATAACATAATATTAATTTGTGCCCCATTGGCTTGTTGTTCATTCTGTACAAAAAGAGAGGATAATGGTGGGACATTTTTCAATGAACCTGTTACTGATTGAAGTAATGTTGATGATTCATTGTCAACTATAGAATTTAGACTATTTGATGCACTGTTGTTGTTACCGCTACTAGTATTATTGTTATACAAATGCTTTGAATGATAATGTTGCATGATCTCATAATTGTTCATACGTTTATCAGAAAAGAATTTTTTATTTTCATATATTCGAAAACGAAAATAATCGTCAACTGACTCATTTCTTGTATAAATAAGATAATTGTACGAACTCGCTATACAATAATCATCAAGATTTTCCAAATACTAGAATTAACCATAGATAATGAATGAATACATTTAAGAAAATCAGAATCTCTCGTTTGTTTCGTACAATCTTTCAGTATAATAACACAAAAAAAGTAAACAAATACTTACTGATGGTAATTCATAGATAGTATCAACACCAACTCCAATTGAAATCAAATCTTGACGTAAACGTAACAATTCTACTGGATTGTAATCTAAACATATGGCGGTATCACATGTTTTTCCATGGATCTAAAGGAAAACAATTTTTAATTCTTCTTGTCTTAAAAAATATTTCACTCAGAAAACTATTTTCTTTTATGCAACTAATAATGTTCAAATCCTCTTTGATTCAGATGTTTTTAAATAAGCAAGACCTATTAAATAAAAAAGAAAAAGAACGTACCGTACGAACTGCCGCTGGCAATGTTGAGTTTAAATGTATCATTCGCTCCATATCAAAACTAACACCAACCATATGTGGTAGTGGATGACTTTTTTGTGAAGGTCGACGAAAATGTTCAAGCTATAAATAGATTAAGAAGAATAAGCTATCGCACAAAGCAATGAAAATTAATAAATACATACCAATGAATCATAACGTCCACCGCCCGCATATATTTCCGATACGGAATGTCTTTTCTTCTGACTAACACAAACAACTTGAAATATGAAGCCGGAAAATGCATTTATATTCAATATTGGATTTAATGCAACGAATCGAACTGTAAGACGAATCTAAAAATAAAACTTTATTAAAATTCAATGATTATAGAGCACGTGACGTACAGGTATATAAACACCATAACATTTTGCATAGTAAACTATTGTTTCTAGTTCAGAAATAATGCTTTTCAATAATTTTGAGCCCTATAATAGTGTACAGATGTCAAAAGACACAACACGACAATTATTAACAATGAACATTGAAAACTAACCTCCCTCGTTGCTTTTGTAAGTTTTTTTAAATCTAGTATAACTTTTTCAAACGGTCCATCTATTACTAACAATGATTGTAATTTTTTCGCTATTTGTTCATTTATACCACATTCAGTTATTATCGAATTGAGCGAGTCAAGACGATCCTTCAAGAAATAAAATAGATTAAATCTCTCTTTCAGTGGATATTTGAAGGTAAGAAAATGTGTTCAACGTACTTTAGTAGAGCTAGTCAAAAGCGAGATGATTTTATCCACTTTTTCAATTGGAACGTCATAATATTTTAAAATAGCTTTCAACAACTGACTGTGACTCAAACAAATAATTAGATTTCGTTGCTAAAATGAATATAATAAAAAATATAAAATTATAAAAATATTTTTGACGAACTTGTACTAAGTGAAATTCAAGTAAAACATCTTGACACACAGCCAATATTTCTAAAGTAACGAAAACATATAAATTTTTATTGTAAGATTCTATAAATCAATCATATACCTGCATCAGGAAGAAATCTAAAATATCAAATAACGTCAGTTTATTTCAGATACAATACTATTCGTTTATTAAGAAAAAACTTACGTATTTCCAGTGAATAAAATATCAAAACCACATTCTGTTATTTCACGTGGATGCATTTCAGCAACGGTTTCTCGATAAACACTTCCAATCTGATAACATTTCATTGTTGTTAAATTATTTAATCCGTAATGTGATACACAACGTGCAATATAACGAGATAATGGTACCTAAAATAGCAGAAAAAATAACAATTATTGTCGTTTAATACAACGAAAAAACTCACAATGACGCACTTTTGAATCAAATGGTAACGTCAATAATAATCCGGAACTTGAAACAAATTTCAAATTTGAACATATTCCTTTATCGTAGAGTTGAGTATCTGGTAACATCAGTGGTAAACGAATAAAAAATGCGCCTAAAATAAAAAGTAGAATAGAAGTACAAAACTACTCATCAAAGAGTTTAAAGTCTTGCTATGACTGTTTTGTAGAAGTAAAATATTTTATTTACCGTATTTTTCGAAAACTCGGATAAATGTGTTTCGTACACTTGTGTAGGCGTTTGAGTCTCTATGAAATGTTGCTAACTAGAAGAAAAATCAAATTATTGGCACATGACAAAAAATAAAAACAGTTATGTACTAATTTACTCTATTCGTATCAACTTGTGTGTCTGGATCGAATGTTGCATCACGTATAATACTATTTTTCTGTTCGAATAGTTTTTCTATTGTTTTGCGATACTGAAATGATTGTTGATCATTCAACATTCGTTCGAGTAACGTTTTAAATTGTTCTTCTTGTTCAAATTGTGTTATATTTGATTGTAACAAGCTCTTCGCCGATGGACGTTTATCAGGTTCATGTGAAAGCATTTGTTGTAAAAGTTCATACTAAAAAACGAATTAAAAAATCATAGAATATTTAATAGAAAAGTACAGATATTAGACGAACGTGTTTTTCAAACGGTTTTTGATGAAAATGTTCAGGTACAATAATATCTGATCGACGAAGTTCTTTTAATATTTTTGCTCTTTCCATTAATGTATCGAATGGATAACACATTTCAAAAAATGTTATTCCCAAACTATAAATATCGACTTTCTAGAAGAAAAATGGTACAGAGAAAAACAGAAAATGATAATAGCAAGTAATAAACCTCAGTTGGTATGGTTTTTGGCCCATTCAACAGTTCAGGCGCTATATAAAATGCCGTTCCAACAGGACTACTTAACAGACCAGCTTCTAAAAAAAAAAAGGCAATTTAACAAAATTAACAAAAATAAATAAATAAAATTTTTTACCGCCAATCGATAAACTGTGCTCTAATGTCTGATGTTTATCTGATACTTCAACATAGGCCTAGAATATAAAAAAAGTTGAAAAATCAATATCAAATACTCTCTTCTATTAGTTGTCATCACTTACCGATAATTTGGTTATAGTAGCTAGTCCCAAATCACCAATTTTAGCATGACCTTTTGAGTCCAAGAGTACATTGCCAGGTTTAAGGTCTCTATGAATTATACCCTTAAAGAAAGAACAATTTAAATTATAGTAGAAATCTAATAAATAAGATATATCTTATGCGGACATTGCCAACATCTGTCTTGAACAGAACAAAGTAGATATAATTCAGTCGATGGAGGGCAGCAACAAAAGTAGACATTTGCTAGATATGATATCGAACAAACCGCATATACCAAAAGAGATCTCTCTGCTCATTTATTTAGGTTCCTAATATCGAGTTGAAGTATCACCTTTTCATGCATATGATTTAAACCTTCTAAAATTTCACGCAATAACATCCACACCATATTGGGTTTTTCTTGTAATAGGCGACGATCAATAAGTTGTTTTAGTGTATTGCCTTCACAATATTCCATCTAAAATGAATACAACTTTCATTAAACAAAAATAAAACTCAAGTTTCATACCTGAATGAATAACACACGTTGAAGTTTTTTTCCTTTACCATTGGTCGATGATGAGGACGAAGATACATTTTGGATATCAGCAGGTTCGGAATGCTAAAACCATCGAAAAAGACTTCTTCAAAATTTATGATGCTGAATTATATACTCACATCTCCGTTTCCACTAGCATTATGATCGAATATCACTAGACCATCGCTCACGTTGAGCGCATGAAATGTTCTAAAAGAAAAAGAGGACATTAATAAACGTGATACTATATGAAATGTTGTTCAGATAGAGGTTTTTTGTCGAAAACAATTAATCCAAAAGTCCTCAATGCCAAATTGATATGTTTATTAGAAATAAATGAACGTGAGTTATTAGACTCCTCATTTGTAAACAAAAAATAGCTAAGACAGAATAAATGACCATTTCCGTATTTTTTGCGTAACTTTATATTTTTGTTCATATAGACTTAAACTTTTTTTTAAAGAAACTCATTCAATTCTCTATAAGACGGTTTACTTTTTCCTTTCTTAAATTTTATGGTGTCATTTTAGACCGTGAAATTAAAGATTTGCAAAATATTTGATCTAAACACAAAATCAGTGACTATCCAATAAAAATATTTCGTGCAAAGTCTCACATCCACCGTTAAATGCAACAATGGTGTTAGAATAGCTCTTCATCATTTATCGACAAAGATCAATGATCTCCGTAAAGTCCGTATCTGAATCCATCGGACTATTACTGTGCTCGGGACGAATTTGTCCATGCTATTAATTGATAATTAACGTCAAAAGGAAGACCGATACAAGGATTGAAACGTACAGTAGAAAGAATCTGAGAAGTTGTGTTAGAAAGTTGTTCATCTTATACCAATAGATTATATAATAAATAATGAAGGATGCCATTTACCTTAATAAAAATAAATGTTTTTGGAAAGAATTGAATGAGGAATGTTTCTAAAAAAATACGGAGATGGTCATTTATTCTGTCTTCCATTAATACATATAGAAAAATTACGAATCTGTTGAATAACAGAACTGTAATGATAAAAATACCTCAAACAACTTACCTAGTATCGAATACCCCACTTTCATCATCTGAGCTGGTAGATGAAGATTCGGAGGACATTGACGAATTAGTATCATTATTTTCAAAATTATCACCCTTGACATTTTTATCATAGTTTGTATTATCCGTATTTGCTAGTCCAAGATTGTTCCGTGACACTAGAATAATGTAAATGATTAAATAAGCTCTTTTGAAAACATACGGCAATTGTTTTACTTAGTAATTCCTTCCGAAGACTGTCATCATCATCATCATTGTGAGAGATAAGTCGCTTTATATTTTTCGGTTTCGAAGATGTTCGTGTTGATGTTCCGGATTTTGATGGGGATGATCTACCAACTTTATCATTTTCAAATGATATTTCTTCCGTCCAAGTACTGTAATATCTAGAAAAAATAGATAATAGGAAAAGTCAATAAAAAGTATATTTTTATGTGAAAGAAATACCTGACAATATTTTGATGATTCAATTTCGATAGTAGTTTAACTTCGCGTGTGATTTTTTTATTCAAATGCTTGTGAGCTGATTTTAAAACAATCTGTTTTACCGCGTAAAAACAACTGTCCAGTTTATTATGCACCTTAGCATAGAAAAAAAAGATAGAAGAAAATAATAACGAAAAAGAATGTCTCTCATTACTTTGAAAACATGACCAAATCCACCCGTTCCGACTATACCAAGTACTTCAAAATCTGATTTTAATCGTGATTGAGCAGATACTAGTATATTATCATCATTATTTATTGAACCAGAATATGTTCCATCGTGACCTGTTTAATAAACAAAATCAGAACAATTATGAGGAAAATAAATAAATAAACGGACATACCTTCTGAATCGGATATTAAACGATGAAAATCTGTTCGAGAATCACTCGTATGTAGCAGAAACGGGGCAAGTGCAAGACTTTTTAAGGAATCTCCATTAGAACAACTGAATATAAAAAGAAAATGGTATACAAATATTTTGAATATGACATGTCATACAAAGATTGATTGAAGAGGATATAGTTGAACAGTTATAAAGGGAGACAAAACTGATTTGAGGATTTTGAAGATTTCAAAAGATTTGGAGGGATTTGAACAAGATTTTAAAAGATTTCAGATCAGTTTTGAAATTCAAATCAGAAATTCAAATCAGTTTTGTCCCCCTCGATAGGTATCCATAATTATAGCTAAGATTTATCCCTGTCACATGTCCCACACGTATGCTCATTTTGCAGATTTTATACAATTTGTTTGCAACTATCATCTTATTTAATTGAAATTAAAGTAATGAGTACGTTTTTATTACCTTTGTAAAAAATCTCTCAAGTTATCGGATAAGTCATCGGGGGCATCTAAAATATATTCGTACGTTCTTCCTGTAGCCAAATTCAATAATAACAATCCCTAAACATGAAAAAATTCGTATAATACACACGCAATAGAAAAATCAAAGAAATGTGACGCAAACCATATCATATATGTCGTTTATTTTTTCATTTTTTATGGAACCATGTAATGATCGCGGAGCTTTGCCTTCATGAAATAGGAGATGTAACTCATTCAGTCTGAACAAAAAGATGGAAAAATTTAAGAGAACGAATATAGCAAAATAAACGTACCGTCTCACAAAACTTGTTCGTGTTAACTTAAATCCACTTGGTAACAGAAAAATAGATTTTGACTAAAAAAGAAAAAGTGTGAGTTAGAGGAAACACAATTTTATTTTATAATTACCTTAATTTCACGATGAACAACCGATTTTGAATGTAAATAGGTCAAAACTTCAGTTAATGAGATAGCGATTTTTTTCAAAAATGCCTCAGCTACTGGACAAGTATCAAATACTTCTAATGAACTAGCTTCAGGGCATTCTGTTAAAACCTATAAATAAAAATGGATTATCCAACAATACTATTTTGTTAACCACAAGAATCTCAGGCGTACTCGAAACGTATACGTAGGTGTATCAATGACTGTTTCATATGCAATTATTTTACATAATACAATGTGTTTTAGCGATATTAAATGTTTTAGATCGTTCTCAAGATTTCCTATTTCACGTCGATATTGTGCGCCAAGATCATCATCTAATTTTCCTAATGAATATTCAAAATTCCATTCATATAAACAATAGGCACATGCACAATCAATGTCTGTACAAAAGTAAACTGTATGTAATACGTAATCATTTAGTGTTGGATGTAATTCAGTATAAAGTATTTTTCCTCGGCGTACGGTTAATTTAATATGATTTTCAAATTTGATTATTAATTCTGATGAGCTACGATAATACTCGAATGTTTTTGATAGAACAGTTGATGGTTCACTATTCTACATGAAAAACAAATGTGAGATTTGAACGCTATAAATACCAACTTACTTGTCGTTCTCGATAGCGACGTTTTCGTTCTTCTGAATACTTTTCACGTGTTACGTGAATCTCTCTTTCAATACCCTATATATAAAAGAGTTTAAAATAATCATTTTCTCATCTAAAAACGAAACTGAGTGCATACATCGTCTACTTCGTTCCCTAAATTCGATGAACATTCAATTTGCTGTTGTTGCGATTGTGACGATGAGGTCCGTTTTTTTGGCCGATATTCCCCAAGAGATGTTTCTATAATTTGTGCCAGTTCATAAATCATCACCTTAAGAGAAAAGTAACTACTGTAGACAATGAAACGAAACATTTGATACATGCATACCCCACCGATATATTTTTGCACTTCCAAGTCAATTTCTTTTTGTAATCGTTGTACAACATCATTGCTAAGATTTTTTGGATTTTTTAACATTAGTATGGGAGCTCTTAAGAAATTAAATTAATCTGGAATTGTTTTTTTCTTTCATTTCACAGTAACATACTCATGAGGATATAACGGTGTTTCCTGAACATGCAAATCAATTGTGGGATCATCATGTAATTGTATAATTACACTGTTTGATCTTGATGGTGCTAATGTCAAACGAAAATCAGGTGGTTTAGAACGTTTATCTTTTTTTGTACGAAGATCTTTCAAGGCTGTTGTATACATCGAACTCAAGACACGAAGTCTAAATACATAAAATTTTTTATAATGATTGCACAAGTTTAACGCCAAAATTCACTTACTCGTTTTCTTGAGCAAGTTTGAGCTCTGACATAGTGCAGGGCTCAATGCTAATACATTAGTTTCAACATCTACAAGTGAAGGGGAAAAAACTTGTATTAGAGATATCAATACTATACGATCCTAAAGGTAGTATACCAAGACTAGTCGACCTCTAAAGTTTGTTAGAGGTTCGATTTAAGCAAGGCTGTGTTGAGACAAACAGTGCCATAGCCAAAGGAGAAAGGGGTAGGCTCCTGCCTTTGGAAAAAAAAATTTCTCTTTTTTCCAAAGAATTTGTCTGACCTCTTGCCCAGATTTAGTAACCAATCTAATCAATATGCAACGAAAACATTCTTTCTCCCACTTTGTCTAAATACTTGACAGAAAAATCTTTCGTCCATTTTTCTTCAATAAGGAAAAAAGCTCAATTGAGGCCAATATTATCTGTGCCATTTAGTTATTGCGTTGAAATAATGATGCTAAATGATGTTGTACTCTCGTACTTCTATGGTTTTCTCTGAAAAAATATACACTCCTGCTTTTTTTCTCTCGCTACGGTACTGTAAACAAAAGATCTGTAGTATGATGCAATAATGAAACAAAAATGCGAGTATTCTATTGAATTTGATGTTAAACATCACGCTAAGGGGTATTTATGTAGTTGACTTTAGAGGTCTATTTCATCAACCGCGTAAATTTAAAAACAAACACTGTTTAGATTGCAGCATCTCGTATAAAACGATTTTGATTTGATTCATGACCACATAATTTGACAAATCAGATATTTATCCGTTTTCTTCTCAAAACACAATGTTGATGTACGTCAGGAGCAAACACTAGAAACAAATCGTTACAGTCAACGTAAAAATCATAAACTTCCTCTAATTGTGAAGCCTTGATCGTAACTTTTCTACTCGATTTATCTCGACTAATGCTCATAAAATTCGACGACAGTAGATGACTTATACTAGGCTTAAGATATCGGGGTATTTTTAGATATTTCCACCTTGATTGTAACGCTTATGTCTGAATTTTACCAACTAAATGATGTTTGTATTATAATGGAAGAAAGGATAATATCGTAAAAAACTATGACAGACTTATTGCATAGCGTACTGAAAGCCACATCAATATTCAATACGATTACAATCTCTTGAAGGTGCAACGGCGATATGAAAAAAATACAGTAAAACATTTAACCTTTTTTGCGTAACAGTGAAAGAGTGAGCTACTGCGAACTTTTGTCGAAAATTATTTCATTAAAAAATACTTTATCGAAATTTTGTTACTGTAGGATATGGTTACGAAGCTTAAGCACAGATAGGATTCAGCAGCTAGCAGAGCTGTGAGAGTGCATAGGAAAGCTCTTTTTGAAGAGAAAAACCATGAACCAAGAGCCAAAAAATATTTTCTATGAACTATTTTTTTATGAAAGTTCAGTGAATCAAAGAGTGAAAACAAAATATGAGTTAGGCTACTTAGGCTTAAATATTTGAATAAAGATAAAATTTTGCTTTCTGTTGAGACCGGTTTTGTTACAGATAACATTGTTCTTTTCAAATACTTATAAAAATCAATGCAATTTTTCAATTTCTCGCAGATAATCTTCGTTTCGATCATCTGTCTTTCTGAACAGAGAGCAGCAAGAATCTTTCGTGTCTTTTAGATAAAAAACCAACTGACGCTGCCTTAGCTTTATCATTCTAATACATAGCCTAAATCTTTTATACATGAACATGAACTTTTCTTCTATCAACAACCGGACAAAAGCAAAACTTCAATCTATACCTATTTTTTGTTCGTCAGTTTTTCTACAGTCTTCAGTAAAATCACGAAAATTCTAAATAAAAATTTCGAATGACTAATCAGTAGTGCCTGTTTTAACAGCAAGTCACTGATAGGAAAACCTATACTGAATCCATTGTTACTGATTGGAATTGGAATTAATAAAAAAGTTTTTATCCCCAAGCGGTACCTATCTCTTTTGCATACTGTTCGGAAAAAAATCGATACTGGTTGGCAGAAGTCCCACCTAGTTTTGTTGTCAGAATTGGAACCTGAGATTTTTTAGATAAAAAATTTGATAAATAATTTCTTGACACTGTCATTGAGTGCTTTGCTGAAACTACAAATTAAATTGATAAAAATTTTTGGCGTTTTTTCCGCAAGGTTGCGCAACCAGACAGAAAAAAACGTCAGGTCGGATGAGTCATCTGCGACTGAGTAAAGAAAAAAAAATCCGGGCTTAAACCGTCAGGCTGTGCGCCCTAACGGCTTCATCGTCGGATTGTTGTTATCGGATGTTTAAAATGAATTATTCTTTCTTTTATGCTTAATGTTTTAGCTTCACAGAAGCAAAGATTAGAACTAAAATTGAATTTTTCAATGAAAATGCATAAAAATTTAGCACTGGAAGCAATATGTTGCATACTACCCCAAGGAAGGTTCTTAATTATAAACTAAATACTAAATTAGCATTTTTCTAAATGTTCAAAGAAATTAGATGCAAAGCAGAGGAATCTATCATCTTAATCGTCAAGTAGGTATGATCGTTTTACATATTTTGTAACTATGGCATTAGTTTGTGGCTCCCTATGAAGAATAGGAATCAGTCGAATCGCCGATCCTTAGACTACCCCTGTGGTAATAACCGATTAAAAATCGATGATTTTTACGTGACTTGGCGTTCGATTGTTACAGTACTTTGTCGGTATTAGTCAGCGATATTTTTGCAACTTTTAGCAATTAGTCGTGATGATTTTTTTTATAGAACGGAGATGTCAGGATCGAATTCACCTATGAGAAATTTGTTTTTTTTTTCGTTTTTTCATTGTTTTGCACTTTAATGACTTTCTTATGATAGTGCCGAGTACTCAGACTCTCTTCATCCGATTTAGCGGTTTGAGACACTGCCCAGAACTCCAGTTGTTCATCGGTCCCCTCGATTCAAAAGCTAACCCTTGTCGAAACAACAAGTCAGCTCTGAGGAAATCACGAAGAACACTCTGGGTGCGTTTCCCAAAAATTAATCTGAATAAAAATTAAACCGAAAAGAAGAGACAATTGCTGTCAAAATCTATGTTAATTATATACCTGGTCAGCTGCAAAATAAAACCAGTGTTTTCGATATAACTTTCGCGAGGTGGAGGAACTTTTATGGAGCAACTCTAAAAATTTAGCTGATAACCAAAAAAGAAAAAGGCTTTTAACTTTTCGGAGTAATTTTTATTTTAGTAGGAGTCAATTTTTTAAAATGATGTAATTTTTTTCAAACAAGGTGGAGAAATTCTCCCACCTAATTGAAAACGCTGAATAAAACGGTAAATGACTAGAAAATCAAAAAACGTCAAGTAATCGCAATTAGTCAGCGATGTTTTGGGAAATCGCGGCTTGCAAAATAATCAACATTTAATCGCGATATACAAAACAGTCGCCGACACATTACGCTTTAGCGGCAACTTTTTCTTTCAGAAAAGTGCGATAATCGCCAATTTTTAAACAATATCGAATACATGGGTACACATGCCAAAGAATAACTGAGGAGTGTCACAAGGTAAAATGTGAAGAAACCGCTGATTTTTTTTTAAGGAGTTCAGACACGATCTTAGAGACTTGTGCACAGATATTTATGCAAGGCCTGATTTACAAACATCAGAGTATACAAACTTCTGTATGTTTATTACAACAACATTACTGTTGTGAATATAACTTTTATAAAGAAAACAACAGAACAAGAAAAAAATAAAATATTACAAAAAAAACATCAATAATTTAATAAGTATTTAATATTTTAAATTAAACAGAGATTCTACTTAGAAACTCTTTGTCGTTCTCTGTTTTTTCAAGTAATTCGTCGTCTTTGAGATAAATACATTATTGTGGGAAATATGGCATGTGAAATGTAAAATGTATTTATTTCAAAAATAACGGATTCCCTTCAAAAACCAAGAATGACAAAGAGTTTCTTAATTAGAATATTCATCTAATTTATAAATATTAATTCAGTGACTTCTGTTCAGGTAACATATATGTAAAGTACATAAACTGAGTCATTATATGCATCACTCTACATACCAGAAATTTTCGAGAGAAATAAATAAATGCGAGATAGGCATTTCCTTTCACCATTCTTCAGCAAAGTGTGCCTTTTCAAACTCAAATCCTGCCCACTGGCTATTTCATTCCCCAATATAAAATCATACAGAGGTTTGAAACGTTCCAACCGAACGGTTAAAACGTCATGTTGATCTGGCGTTTTAACCATCAGATTGAAAAATAAGTGTCATATCGGTACTGTACTGTTAAAATGCACAGTTAAACTGTTTAGAACGTTTACAATGTTAGGTTAAAAAAAGCCTCAGATTTTGATGTTTAAACCATATAATCAAAGCCTGCGGTTTGTTTGCAGTGTAGAGAGTATGTGACTAGTTAGAGTAACACACTAATGCAATGTACAAATGCATTTTGGGTTTATGAATTGAATATAACGTGTTTGTTGCTGCCATATAGACATAACAGAGACTGTTTGTCATTACACCTACCCTTTTTCTATTTGCTGATTTATATTCTTTTTCATATTTCTCCAATAGTAGTAGTCACTGAACTAAAGTGAGTCAGCCATCATACGAGATTTGCACACGCTTGGTTTTTGTATTTTCTCTGTCTCCCTGACTGTTTCTGGTTGCAAAACAAAACCATCTTATTTCATAATTTTTAAGCATTCAGAAAAGAAAAAGTAAGATAATGTCATTATGCCCGCCATCGATCAGTGTTTATAATAGAAATTTTTAATTATTTATTTTTTCTGGTCGATCACTTTGGACAAATGTGATCACTTACGAGAACGTCAACCGTAGCAAACTTAGGTGCAATGTCATCGCCGTTTTGTTTCGCCTCTTTGAATAGAACAAACTGAGTCAAGGCAAAGTCACAAAAGTGACATCATAAAATAGTCGTTAATAATCATTAAAAATGTAGGAGGAATTCAGAACCTTAGCTTTACAAGTTAGAAAAAAATCGACATACAAAAGTACAATTATCACGCATCAATGTTCTCAGAATTCAATATTTCATGGGATCTGTTAGAGTTTTTCTACTTTCAAACACCAAAAAAAAACAGGAAACTTTTGCTACATTCATCTTTCTGATGCAAGAATTTTGAATCAAAGAATCGTTTTACTTTATTTTATTCAACTAATTTGTACCCTAGACGGGCAGCCTAGCGGTTGGAAAGCAACGCAAAAATCCTCTTTTGTTCGAAAAAAAGGTAAACTTTTGAGAAACCTGTGCTCGAAACAAAAACGCTTTATAAGAGAAAAATGATAGTTAATTTTGGTTCAAATATAGATATATTTATGGCTAATTATATTTAGTGCAACTAGAGTCTAATCATGTCCGTCAAGATCATATCGAAATAGTTTTTGACTCCCATATACGTGTGAAAGACGAGCATAGCACCTTTTTGGGAATTATTTGAACCTGGGAGTGTTTTACAATCTAACAGCTATAAAACAGGCGTCTGAAACGTTATAGAATGAAATTTGTCTGGTGAAAGTTTTTGATTGAAACTTGCAGTAGATCCGCTTCACGTTACAGAACAAAGTGCAGAGTTCCATTTTGATTCCACTCCTCATTAAATGCAATAGGAGACGGGAACGATGAGAATTGAAAAAGGATGGACTACACACCAAAATCTTTGTCAGCCGTTATGTTAAAGTGATGGAAGTATAGAAGATATCTTTTGTCAAATTTGAATTTTTTCTTGTCGTTTTTATTCTGGTATCTAATTCTTTGCCTATGTGTCTTAAAAATGAAAATTCTGGCTATACATAAGGATTCAATACCATGATATATTCGATAAATTTCGCTGGTTCTTTTCAAACTTTGACAGAGTATAAAGTGAAATTATCTTGTGTTTTAGATGTTGCTCTTTCATGGCTCTAGTATATTGTTTATTGTAGTTATTTCATTATGTTTAGTATACATTAGGCCAATTTGTTTACTAACTGGTCTATTCCTTATTTTTCATCTTTTTGATTGTTTCTATTTGAACAGCAATAGATATTATGAACAAAAATTAATTGAATATTATCATTTGATTTATCCATTTTTGCTTCTCTGGACAAGATTTGCCTGTGAATTATTAATTTTAAATGGTATCATTGTATTATATCGTTCATTTCGTATGAATTTGTTGACTAGTGCTATACTTCTTTTTTGTACTCTACGTTTTTTTGTCATTTTCTACCATTATCATCATCATCATATTATCGACAATCAAATTGTAAAACAAAAATGTCAGCTTATATCAGGTTTTTTGTTAAAAGTATATTATTATTTTGTCAATATAGTCAACAGTAACAGCCATATGAATGATCAAGAATTTCATGGATTTACATCAAAGTTTAAACATTATCATTCCAATTTAGAAGATGTTGATGATATGGATTATATTGACGAGAATGATGAGACAATTATCAAATTTCAAAATATTCTCGAATCACAACAAAACAATGATAGGTGTGATCATTCACTTGTATCAAAACAATACCAGCAAGAATCGCAAACATCGACTGATTATATCGGACCATTAACGCGTAGTCGTGCTCGTCTGACAAATAATACAACACCAGAAAAATCACAACTTAATAAAACAACACCAAGGCGACCAAAAAAAGATAATTGATTAGCATTTCAGTTATGTTTTATATGTCAGATAGCGTTTTTCTTTGTGAATTAGTATTACACTTCTTTTTCATGTCAGATTTTGGCTTATTAGCCTAAAATTATATTTTTTAAATAATTTAATATAGTTTTATCCAATTTATTCATTATTCAATCAGATAGAAAAAACGTACCTAGAACTGTTGTTCGATAGATAGTTTTTTTGTGTGTTTATTTTATGTAAAAATTTCGAATCTCCTTCATTCTGTGGATTCTTTTTCTGTTATTACACTGTTTGTGTAACGTTCTTTCAATTTCTCGTTTATATTCTATGCTCTAACCATTATGGTTACTTCGCATTTTTTCTGTTATGTTGTGAGATTTTTTAGATTGAAAAGTGATAAATATCTGCGATTGAGATTGATAGTTGAAATTTTACAGCAATTCTAAGAACGAATAGAGATGGAAAAATATTTGTATTCTCTCCTATCTTAGAAGAGTCGAATCTATTCGAAGATAGCTACTACTAGTCTAATACTAGAAAGGGTTAAACGTATGAACGAACTATTTGCCTTTAAAACAAAAAGAATATCATCAAAAATCTTGTTTCTTTCTTAAATTTGACTTTTAGCTCAACTTTTCTACAATACAAGCAGGAAATATAGTCAATATAATATACTAAAACTTACACTATCGAAAAAAACACAAAATCAGTAAAGATGTATTCGACTTTTTAGATTTTCTGTACACTTATTAATTTTAGATATTATTATGTTTGATTGAATTAAGTATATAGTTTTTCATTTCATTTTTTTTTTTGTTCTTCTCTCTGATGGATATTGATTTTCGTAATGAACTGGATAGTGAACGAGAAGATATTGAAACACAATTTGTATTCAAAGGACGACGAATCGGTAGAGGAACATGTTAGTATTTGTTTCTTTCTTAATTTTCGCTTGATAATTGACACCCTTTATATATTTTTTAGATGGACAAGTATTTAAAGCAACAAAAAAAACTGGGTACCTTTTTCAATTCGTGCTATTAACTGAATTACATTTATCTATTTCATTTTAGCAGTGATACAGTAAAACCGTATGCACTGAAGCAAATCGAAGGTGGAGGTTTTAGTGCCAGTGCATGCAGAGAAATATCTGTATGTTTGTTTTTCTTCTTAAGTTTTCAACAGTTTAGAATTATTATTTATTTTAGCTACTACGTGAACTCAAACATGCAAACGTTATCACCTTGCATCGTGTATATCTTTCTCATCAAGACAGAAAAGTATCGTTATTGTTTGATTATGCTGAGTACGATTTATGGGTACGTAGTGAGAAATTCGATAGCTTTTAATATTGTTTTATTGTATTATTTCGTTTTTAAGCATATGATCAGATTTCATCGTGGTAGTCGTGCTCAAAAACCTAGCAGTATGACTCCACTGACAGTGAAATCAATTATGTATCAACTTTTAACGGGTATCCATTATCTTCATTCAAATTGGGTTTTACATCGAGATTTAGTAAGTCTAAAACTAATAAAACGATAAAAGTTTGAGTTTTTTTAACATCGCTTTAGAAACCCGCAAATATTTTGGTTATGGGTGACGGTATTGAACGAGGACGTGTAAAAATAGCCGATATGGGTTTTGCTCGTTTATTTTATAATCCATTAAAACCATTTGCCGACATTGATCCAGTGGTTGTTACCTTATGGTACAGATCTCCTGAATTACTATTAGGAACAAGACATTATACAAAAGCGATCGGTATGTAAATAGTTATCAATATTTCTCTTTATCTTATCATGATAATTTTTATTCTATGAAGATTTATGGGCAATCGGTTGTATTTATGTTGAACTTTTAACATATGAACCATTATTTCATTGCAAACAAGAAGATATTAAAGCACCATCACCATATAATCGTGAACAATTAGAAAAAATATTCACGGTGTTGGGTTATCCAACAGGTTTGTATTATCGTGTTTTGAATTCGTTTCTAATTGAACATAATAAACACATTTTATTTTTGTTTAGATGATGATTGGCCAACGATTCGACAACTACCTGATCATGCAAAAATGGCTCGAGATGGTATTCGAATGCAAAAGTAAATAGAAAGCAAAAATTATTAGTATTATTCTCTTTGTTAGCACATTATGTTATCTTTGTAAATAGTAATCTAACTATCTTTCAGATAACATTAGAGAGTTGCTTCTATCTGATACAGATTGTCTTATTTTTCTTTTTATCTTTCATGTTTTAGTTTTGGCAATTGTACATTAGGACGATATTTAACAAAATACAATATTGCTGCAAATGGTTTATCTTTACCATTATTGTCAAAATTATTAAATATGGATCCAAATAAACGAATAACAGCTGAACAATCTCTAGATGATCCATTTTTTAAAAAAGAACCATATCCACATAATGAGTATGTTTGATTTGGATGTTTTTTTTTGGATATATTAACAAATGTTTGTAAATATCTTTTGTTTTCTTTTTTTTTAGTTCATTTTATGGTTCTACAATACCGTATCCAAATCGAGATTTTATCTTTGATGATGAAGAAAATACTAACAATGATGATATAACAATAGTTCAGACGGAACGTCAGTCTGTAACGGCACAAACAACTACTACACAAACTGTTCAAGATAGTTTGAAACAGACAACAGATCATTCTTCATCTACAATAGTTAATAGCAATAAGATAGTTAATGAACAAACAGCTATTGTACAGCAGCCTCATCTTACTTTATTAGTAAGTTTAAATTTTATTATTCAAAAAAAAGAGTAAATATTTTATTCCTATTCAGGGTACACAAGAAAATTATTATGAACCAAATCCAAAACGTTTAAGAACAATGTTGCCTGCGAACGAATCTGTCTCAATTGCACCAACTACTTGTGTATCATTTTATCCACAAGTAAATAAAAATAAAGTTATTTTTATGTTTTTTTTAATTGGGATTTTGTCTCCACTTTTAGAAACCATTAGTTAACTCACAAATATTAGCACTACAACAACGAAGGTAATCGGAATCTTCTTTTAACTTCCAGTATCCGGTGATAACGAATCTCATTGAATAATTGTATAAAAAATTTGTTATATATTCATCTACTTTTTTCCACTAATGAACAGTGCTTGTTTTGTGTGCATGTGCACTTCTGTCTTGTTTAACATATACATATAGTAAATCTTACAATCAAATATCTACGCTTATTGTCTGTTATTTTGTTTTCGTTTCTTTGTATAAATCACAAAAAAAAAAATGTTTGGTATTAGAATAGACTACGAAGATCTTTTGTGAAATAAAAGTTATTAGAGGAGTCTTTTCATCGTATATTCAAAAATATAAGTGACGGAAATATTGTAAATTACAACATGAGCAGAGAAGAGTTTCACTTAGAAAAAATAGTTAAATCTGAAGTCTATCTTGAGATAAGGAAGAAAATTTTTTGATGTGTGTGGTTTTTGAAGGGAGTTAGAATCGGCATAATCACCAGAGACCCTCTGGAAACCCTGTGAAGGTCTCTAAAGTATCATCATCAGATTCTCCATCATTTCTAATCCATTCTGCGTTTTCAGAAGTGATTTTGAAGCAAAACTCACGAAAATAGTGCAAAAGGACTTGGCCGTCTTGGATACGTGCTCAGTAAAACTTGATTTTTTCAGTGAAGAAAAAGAATTTCGAAAAAAGCTCTTTATTAGTTTGAAGTCTGGCCTCTGGCGAATCCAATCATGTAAAAGTTTTGGCACTAGCTCCTTTGTGAAAGCTTAAATTAGGGCCGCAAAGTTTGATGCCCGCTTTCAATACGTACCGGTTTTAGACACCGGGAAACATCCATTTTCGGTCCTAGAAGTATGAAGATGCTTTTCTAGATTCAGTTTTTAGCGGTTTTTGACATGCTTCAAGTATTTTGAGGATATCTCAACAAGGAAACGGATTTTGAAGATGGGAACGTGATATTCGTGATCCTCATTCAATTCTCTATCGAATGATGTATAAACGAGCGAAATCTAAATTCCACTCAAACTCTGCTTTCCGTGCATCTTACATGCTACACTTCTCTAATATCATGTATAATATTGTTTTTTTTCCTTCAGTAAAGATTTTTTGAGTACACCTCCCTGCCATCTATACACAGCATCATGAAAAACGTGTAGATAAGAAACATATAGTTTTTACATATTGAATCCATGGGTCAGATCACACATATTTTGAAAAATTCTATGAGTCAGACTAAAACTTATTGGCTTATATAGGGTTCAGGGAAATTGTAGACTTTTAAACTACACTAAGAGAAATCGGAATTGAAAAGACTATCGGTCAATTATTTTGACAGACAGCTCACTGGTTGTGAGTATCCTAAACTAGATGCTTATAATTAGCTTTCCGCCTCTTACAGTCTGCCTGACCAGTTATTTACAAGATACAATCGTGATATTCGTTGCACTCATAAAAAGGTTCAACAAATTTTTGACATACTTTTCAAAACTCTAGCGGATAGCGTCAAACCTTAGGGTGATCAGATCCTCCTATTTCTCATCCCAATCGAAAAGTCTGGTCTTGGAGTACAATACGGGATGTTCACTGATATTTATGTATAAAATAAAAAATTGACTTATCAATATTATAAATGCGTTTTATTGAAAAAAAAATTATTCTTAACGTTTCTTTGTCCAGTTACCATGCCATTCTCAAACATACCGTGTGAATATTGTTATGGTACAGAAGAGAAAAAAGTATAATATATAATTTTGAAAAAGATGTGAATTCTCTCAGAAAGAAAAAGGATTAATGATAATCGTTATACGATACAACAACATGAAGGACAATTCTATTGATGATTTCGTTTGCAAATACTTATTTCATTAGTTTTCTTTTAATATAAAAGAATTTTATTGTCTCATCAATGGTTAACAAATAATAATAATAATAATAATAAAAACTATCTTTTGATTGTAGAAAAAGACAAAATCAATTTGTACGAATATGGACTTGTTTAAATCTAAAAGTTGATCGCAGTAAAACATAAGGAAAGTTTTGTTGTCAGCTTATAATTGGCTAATATATAAAATTTGATTTTCACATTTATAGTTTGCTGTAGTATTTAGAAGAATAACCAAGAATAAAATTAATTTATTATAGATCTTTTACCTTCATGTATAGTTTTAGAAATATTCTGTGTTGGATGAAACATCTTTTCACATTTTTGTAATGAATAGATTGTAGGTATATTGTTTCTTTTGTTTTAGAGGATGTTAGTGTGTAGAGAACATCTAAAACTACAATCATTCAAATTATTAAGCAGATTTTTCACTATTTAATAGATTTATGTATAATATAAACATTAGGAATATTCTGATTCTCGGTTCTTAGCTTAGAATCTGAAAATAATTTTTCAGGCAGTAACAATTCAACAAAATAGAATTCATTTTATAGTAAACGAAAGGATTCCTTTAAATAATGATAGGCCAATATATCTATTTGTAGCTTTGTCAACAGTGTCTTCATTTTGTTAAAAGAAAGACAAGTCAAAAAGTCTTGGTTCCGAAAAAAAGGCACCGTTTAAGAAACCGCGGCTTCGGTTCCATTGTCAGAATCGGCAGCACGGTTCTGATTCTCGATAAGAAACCGAAAATAAGAGAACCGCGATTCCGAATGGTCATACGGAATCGAACCGCGGTTCTAGTTCTTAATGAGAACTGAACATCTCTAATAAACATGTATGTATAATTGTCTAATAGCTTGAAGTTGCAAGAAATCGAGCTATAGTTATATACAGTATGCATCTAGTAATAATACTTGTATTGATTGTAATAAGAGTGTTCGTGCAAATAAAATTATTAGCCTTTTTCTACGTATAATAATAATTATGGTATTATTATTATTATTTTTATTATCTATGATGTTTGGAGAAGAAACAACGACAACTGTCTGGTGATTTATCAGCATATGATCATTAATCACTAAATTACTCTCTTATGTGCAATAAACAAAAAGATATTAATGTATATTGTCTTTTCATAAATAATACATCTATAACCTTAACAAATAAGTAAACCATTTAGAGGTCGAATGTTTGTTGTTTGTGGGCGTAGTTGCACATTTTGAAAGCATATATATGCTAATAAAGAAAGCACTGTAAATTATCCATGTGCTCTGTGATTCATGGCGGAGCCGGTGTCTGCTAACATTTGAACGAACAACGGTATAGTAACGATACATTATAACGGCAGGATCATCAGATAAAATCATGCAGCTCATTTTGATACTCTCTAAAGTTTTGCATTTAAATAAAGACTTTATTTCTCGTATTCATGTTTTTTCGTATCCGGATAAGATATTGTAGAGAGGCAAGTAATTAAACTGCCACTTAGATATATCTTATTATCTGTGTATTTCAACTATTTTTCCGACTTATGTAAGGTATCGGAAATTCAAAGAAATAGCAACGTTTTTTTCCTATTTTATTATAGATGGCTGGATAGAGCGTATCGAACTGATTAAGAATATGTCGATTTTAAGTTTTTTTATGGGAGAAAATTTTTAAAAAACTCGAAGGGTGCAGAGATCTCGAAAAACAATTCAGTTTCAAAAAAATTCACATTTTCGTTGTTTTGTTTTTCTAACTTTTTGAAAGTATTTTTTCCAGATTCAGCATTAAAAACTGAGTATGAATCTGATGTTTGATTGAGGTTGAAGTCAAGGTTTATCTAGTATGGACGTGTTGAACTCCCTTTGTAAAAATTTCATAAATAATTTTGCAAACCTATCTGGTTTTTTGCGTGAACAGATTAAGCCGACCTTTTTACGTCATTAAAACATCTGAAAGCTTTAAAAATATAATTGGCTTTTTTTTAATTTTGTTTCCTCACTGAGACAATTCATTTTTCTATATTAGAAGCGAAAAAAATTGAAATTCTGCCCATAATTCACAATTTTCTCCATCAGAACTCATTTTTTATACAATAAAAATATCCTATTCAGAGTCAGCGTCAAAAGCTGAGCGAAGTGGTATACTTTTTTTATTATATACGATCACTTTTGTTTTTTTTCGAATCTTCACATCGAAAAATTACTGACATTTTCATCAAAAAATGAAAATAATGAAAATCAACGAAAACGTTTTGCTCTAAAAGGTAATATAATTAATATTATTGTCAGTAGTACATGTACAGAAGTTATTGATCCACTTATCACACTAACATCAGACTTTTTACTCGGTAATGCTGATTTTGCTTATCGTTCAATACAAACTAATAATTTTATGCAAATTTACCATGCGTCATTATTCGGTATGCACAATTTATTCGAGCAATTATTTATCTTTTCATTGTTACATTTATTTTACTTTTTATCATAGGACTCATCGATAAATTAGACGAGTTGGGCAACAGAAAGAAAGAGTAAAATATCGAAAAAAGTTAAAAACTTTGAAAGAAACATGTGACCTGTAAGCTGGAAATAAAAAATAACCGAATTTTCAACATCATAAATTTCTAATTTACATGTTGATTCATCGGCATACTCTACACCAGTAGAATGTATACATTGAAATCGTATATAAAGCAACATGCTTATGAATATAACATAATCGTTTTTTATATGTCTGATATGGCTGAATCAATTTGAAATAAAAAATCAAATGTTGAACAACACTATATTTAAATTGATTAAACAAATATATATTCAGAATAAATAGTCACAATAGACCTATACTATCATCGTTCATATGTACGCTTATTTTAGAGTCAAATTTTATTTCAAAATACTACCACACAACAATGAAAAGAAATTCAAAAACGAATGCCTAAGTAGATAATGTTTGATTATTTGATAGTAAATTATTTACAACGACTATCATCAAAAAAATTCTATAAACAAAACAGATCTCTTATAAAAGAGAAAAACCAGATGAGAAATAAAATTATTTAGAAGTAACTCGATAATAAGAATACAAAACAAACAAAAACGAAATACTGAAATTACAATACTTTAAAAACAAAACGTGCACAAAACAAATAAACGTCAAATGATAAATTAGCAACCGATGACTAGTATACGTTTTGTTTTTAAGAGCCAGTTACATGACGCGATAAAATCATCGGATTTTTGTCAATAGATAAAAAAGTTACATAGTATTTTCGTTACAAAAACTGTAATTACACGAATAGAATAAAGTAATGTCATTTGAGTTCATTGCACGATCAAAGATATTAATAAAAAAACTTTAGATAATTAATAGAACACAAGTACAAAAAGAAAAGAAGCGACTAAATTAATTAATTGAGAAAGAAAATCAGAAGTAAAAAAAAAATCGAGATTCAAAAAAAAACAAAAATAAACAAGTTCATTTGTTCATTGCACACAAAGCATATATTTTTTATTTTTTTGTTCGAGTTCGTACACTGCGAATAGACTTGTCTAAAGAAGAAATAAACAGAGTGAACAAACAGAAAAGACAACGTTTTTCTCAGTTGGAGGGTAAATATTATTCTGTCTTTCTCTCTTTTCCTCTCTGCGACTATGGCGAGCATTGAAAATTCTTGTTTCACATTGAAAAATCTGAAATAAAAGAAAGAACAACACCCAGTAGTGATTATCTCGCTCAAATCATTTTTTTTCGTGCATTTTGTCACTAATATCAACGATTCATATTCTTCCAGAATACAAGCGAAAAATAAATATAAATACGAATAGATAAACTTAGATCACCAATACTTTTTCAAAAACAAAACAAACAAAACCACTTACCACCAGGACTAGAACTTTCACGACGCGCACCTTGTTATGTTGCTTGAGAGGCTATTTTTGCTAAAATAAATTTATTATAATAAGAAATGAAACACTATTAATTGATGGTGTAAATACCGGCGTATAGATTTGCTTCTTCCTGGGCTTTGCCAATATTCTTTTTATAACGAATACGTTTATTTCCGAACCAATTGGAAACCTAAAATAAAATAAAACTAATTATAATCTCACGAAATAACAATCAATATAAATTTTTACAAATTTAGAAACTTATTCACAGAATTAAACAAAACTTTTAAATAGATATTTTAAATTGAATGAATAATGAAGAATAACTGTTTCAACTAATTTTGAACGTTTTTTAAATCTCTACTTAAAACAGATGTTTACAGAATAGTTTTATTGACTTACTTGAGATACTGATATTCCACACTTTCTTGCAAGTTCATCTTTTGCCTCTTCACTTGGATATGGATTGCTTAAATGTGAATAAAAATATTCATTCAACACCTCGGTAGCCGTTTTACTAAAATTTCGACGTTTTCGTCTAAAATAAAAGTAGAAACAAAAATAATCTAATGTCTTAGTAAGCTCAGAATGTCGTGACATATACGAAAATATACCTTGCATCCAAAAATCTTGATCTTAATATCATAACAGCTTCACATGTCGATTGTTTTAATTGTAATTGAATTGAACTAAATTTTTTGCGAATAATATGTACCATACGATCGATTTCACGTGGACTTATTGGTCGTGCACGACTTTGTTCTCTCAACAAGTTAACAACATGACTTGTAAAGTCATTGCATGCTTAAAAAAAGAAAATAACATAATAAGTTACTTTTCGTTGAAATAGATAAAAAAAATAGCGGGATGATACCTTGTTCGTATTTTTCGAGTTCACTATGATACAGTTGTCTTATTTGTGTCAATTTTGCACGATAATCACTATGTTCTAGCGCTGAATCATCATTAATTGATGCGAGTGCTGAAGCACTAGCTGATGATGAACCACTTGTAGGACCACTTCGTTCTGGACCCGCAACACCTAAAATAAAAATAAAAAAGATTACTTCTTAATTAAAAGAGTATTGACTATTTTTGATACCTTCAGCAATTAACATGTTATCTAAACGCATTAATTGTGGATCTTGTGGCTCGTCTTCTGGCAGATTTCTTATATTTATAGCTAAAAGAAACAAGAAAATGTGAGAAAGATTGCTAAATACTTCATGTAAATAAAACAAAAAAATGAGAATAAATAAATAAATAATGTAAAACATTGTCATACCGGTTTTTTCTTTAATTTCACATAAAACTTGAAAAAATGCTGGTTTGAGACGATTGCAATTAAAAGCATGTTTTCTATAACAAAAATCATACAAGGATCGTTTTAAAAGTAAAAACAGATATTCTACATACCTTTGTTGTGCTTCGTCTAAACTTTGATCGACAATAGATAAAATCTGTTGTAACATATCATTAACATCATAGCGTTTTGTGCAAGCATTATTTTGACCATCTAAATCTGAAGTGTTCTCGTATAAACCATATTTAACATCCGTATTCATAGTGAGATGTGGTAACGGTATAATGCCATAAGGTGAAGTATGATAAGGAGAAACTTGATCTTCCATCTAAAAAGGCCAAAATTCATTGACATTTAAAGTATAGCAATACTCTTTGGCCTTTGTAGATGTTTTTCTATTAATTAAAATTAATTTTTTTGTAAGAAACGATAGGCACAAACAGTCAGAATCGTTGTTTTTCGCTCTAACAATTCGCGATAAATCCTGGGTGATTGTTTTGTCACAAGTTACACTGTATCGTACACTACGGTTATACAATGCTCTTAATCATGATTGAGTTTATAGAATAAAACAGCAAAACTCAAAAATTTTGTTTTAAGGCATAGGAGCACAACTTTCCCAGATTAATTTCAAAAAACTGCTGACTGCTTTGAATTTGCCAAACAGATCGCTCAGCTTTTGTTAGAAAACTAACGATCGAAAACACCAAGGCCAACATATTCCCAAATAGAAAACGCGTTTTTAATCATTTTTCCCTTTGCTGGTTAATTTTTTATCTGTCTAACCGCATTAAACAACATTTCAAGACTTTTTTTTCGAAAATATTAGCTATTTTCATCTGAACGCTAAAGTATTTATATCCTCGATAATTATGTTAGATTAATTATGATTGAAAAGAGTCGTGTTATAATATAAAATTCATAATCATGATTATTTTTAATAACGATTAAGAGCGTAGTGTAACCGTAAGGGTATTCTAATTTTTATCACGCGGGTCCATCTTTCCTTTTCTTCACAAAGCATCCTTGTTCCATCCTTTACCTTTCTACCATTATTGCTTCTGCTTTTTAGAGAACAATGAGTTCCTTGAATATTCCTAATTAACATAGATAGCAGAGTATTAAGATGTTAGATATTTCTGTCAAGACGTATTAGGAATAAAAGCCAGTCAGAAGACAGTACAATCGATGTGCAGCACTCATGTAGATACTAGCGACTAACAACTTTCTTTTTTTGCACATCGTACATCGCCCGAGAGTTTCTCAGCATTATTTTCTATTCTATTATAGTCTCTTATAAATTCAAACGTTATGCGATATAATAGGTGAGTCGTTGGACCATCAGAATATGAAGTAGTAGTACATGTATAAATTTAAAGTGCAGTCTGAGTGTAGGTGCAGGACCATAAAATAAGTAAATAAATAATCGAGAATACAACTCTTCTTATTTATTCTTTCTTTCTCAAGATTACACTAAAGAAAAGATCTTTTTATCGGAAGTTGGGAGAATTTCTATAGAATTATATTCGAATTTTGGCTGTGGTTTTTCTTTGAAGTATTCACGTGGTCTAAAGTTTCAACATACACTGCTGCTCACACAGCTGCTCATACACTGTTGATCGGATTTTTCAAAAGGTTATTTCATTTTCCTTTAGATTTATTAGACATCTATAGGACTCACTAGTAATGAAAATCATATACCTTCATGTGCACTAGCAACGAAGTATTTGCTTACTTTAACAATATCTGGTTTCTGACATGTTTCTGATTTTAAAGTGGATTGTGCTTTTGTTAACATGAAGAAATGAAAAGAATTAGAAACAAAATAAATCGTATCTGTACTGCAGACCTAAGCGTTATCATTTCTAAAATTTAAACTTAAAATGACGGAAAGTCCCTAAAAAAGAAACACCTTTTTACGTGTTTTTCAAAAACTATATTTTGCTCCGTTTGTAGTTTTTAGATCTGCTTAATCAATTCAGAACCACAATTTTTTCTCCTCTATTGTTCAGCTAACTTTGTTTGTACACTGTACTTTGAGTTATATCAAGTAACGAGTCTGGTTAATTCTAGTCGACATACAGACATGTACATATGTATTTTATTTCATCGGAGATCGTCAAGTTACAGAAATGTTATTTAGTAAAAACGAAGTAACACGAAATGTTTGTACAAAGACAGCTCATCCTGTGCACGCTATTTAACATTTAGGAATTTAAAAATGAAAAGTATATTTTTTAGAAATTTCCGTAAACCTGCCAAATGTATCTGATTATATGGCATTCTTCTTCTCAGACGTAAAATTAGCCGCAGTGATCATTCAAATACTACTCGATGTCAATTAAAACTGTCTGTTCACTGTCTCAAAAATCTTATTTTTTAAGATATATTGTGAATTATTACTACCTATGTCTTTTGTCACTTGATCAATGTTTCATAGTAGTGTTGAATGGTGAAACTTCATTTCTGATGAAAAATAATCGTTGAAAAAACAATATTACTGCATTTTTGAATTACAAAAAGGGAAAAATTGTATATTGACAACGGTGACAATTCTACTGAATGAGGAGTTATGGTGACGGAGCATCTATAAGCTATGGACTTCTTCCAATCAGCTCTGTAGGATATCGATGGAAATAGCAGTAACATGAACATGAATAGCATGAAAGATCTAGTGTCTCTAAAATAAGATGGTCATTATAAAATTTGAGTTCAATATTATATCTTTAGCGTATCTATTTATGAACAATGGCATTATCTTATACTAGATAGAGAAGTTACATTTCAAATGTAACTTCTCTATCTTAAGCCAATGAATGATATAAAAGAAGTCAAAACTTATTTTTGTTTATGAAATATTAGAATATTATGCATGTTATTAAGAGAGTCTGTGAAATTAATATTGAAAAAAAACCATTAATAGTGGCAGCAACATGTCAATCATTTTAGTACCGAAAGATACACCTGAAATAAATGAATAACATATATTGTCTCTAATGATTGTTTTGTTTTGATATTTAACAAAGATATATATAATAGACTGTTTTATTTTCTTGGTTAATCACTGTTGTGGATTAATTGTAAAAATCTATGTCTATTTTATATGACTATTTCCAGTAACTGCTATTTATATTTGTACGTATGAAAGAAAAATGGTTGGCTAAATTGTTTGATTGATTTTTTTTATTATCGAACTCTCAGATTTGTTTTCTTGAGTATATTATGATAGTTTGTATATTAGACCGTTCTTTCTAATTGTGCTACATAATAAGAAATAAAGTAAAAAATATATAAGAAATAAATAAACTAATTTTCTACCATTTATTTCTAATTACAGTTTTCTCAAGAAATTTAATGTAAAGATTCTACCATGCATTCTTTGAATAAACTGATGTATTTTATATAATTATTTGGCAGGATATGATTAGCTCATCCATCATGTATTAGGTCTACAAACATTTATTTTCTAATTGCTATGGACGAAACAACTATTTATTTTCTGATGAGTTATCATTTACACGAACCATTACACAGTAATCCAATGTTTATTGTCAAATGTATGGTATTTATGATTTATGATAGACAGTAGCTATCTTGAACTCTACATTCTTCACAAAAATATTAAACTGAAAACAGTGTTAAAAATAGAAATATCATCCAAAACTTTTTAAAACTTTATTTTATCATCCATTCTTTTCGTTTTTCTCTCCAACAAAAAAAAAGGATTGAAAGAATGAAACTGAAATGATTTTTTGTTCAGTTAATTTCTGATGGCTATATGTTGCAATGGTATTTGAAAATTGTTAACCATTACTATATAATCAATTAAAAATTTCGATGACATATTGTTAAAAGACTCCTCTATCTATCTTTTTGCCACATGGACATAGTACTACAACTGACTCATTATTTCTACAAGTTGTAATGAGCATGTAATGAAATCGTTTTCATTTTGGCATGTTTATCGACAATTTAACGAATAGAAAGAAATAAAAAGAAAAGAAAAAAAAACAGTCCACGTATATGTAGACATGTAGGTAATATTTAGTGTACATTGTAGTGCATTTTTTTTGTTTCTATTCTATATTGATCATCTTATATAATTCTAGTAACAAAGAAAAGAAAACATGTATACCAAAATCATAGCTCAAAACTATTAATAATATTAATAAGTAACTGTCAAATATATTTTATTTAGTTTCCAATGTACATTGTATCTTTTCATAGTCATCATTCGAGAATTCGACACAAATAAATAATGGTAAAAATAGTTAATAATCTATTCTTAGAAAATATTTTAGATCATATAAAAATCAGTTATTCTTATATAATTTTACATATTATCTATGGACATTAAATTATTGCAGTGGTAAATAAGTACGAATGTTCATATTCAATATAATAGATATGTTAAATAACATATTTTTTGTGTTTTTATAGGACATGAACGTTGGTATTGCTCAAGGAGAACGAAATCCGAATAGTAGTTGGTTAAATAGTAGAGGTGTTTGGTTAACCTATATTATTTTACTATTTGTACTTCATTTTATTCTATTAAGTATTCCATATATCACAACACCATTAGCATGGACATTAACAACATCTATCCATAACATTGTAAATATGTCTTGAATTATTTTATCATAGAAATAATTATTATTTTTCTTTTTTATTCGTTTTTATTTTAGTGTAGTTTCTATCTTTTTCACATTATCAAAGGTGCACCATGGGAAACATCTGATCAAGGTATGGCTCGACGATTTACATTTTGGGAACAAATTGATGATGGAGTACAATGGACGGGTACAAGAAAATTCGTACAAATAATACCGATTGTCTTGTAAGTACACGTTATGATGTTTTTTAATTTTATTTCTTAAATTTTCTAGTTTCTCATTCAAATTATCTGTACTTTACTTTTTTTATGTCAAAATCAAAAGATTTCTATAACTGATTGAATGATCTTTTCTTTAGATTTTTTATTGCAAGTTTCTACACACAATATAACGGTTATCATTTTCTCATTAATCTTTCAACATTACTATTGGCTATTATACCAAAATTACCTATTTTCCATGGAGTTCGAATAATGAATATCAATCGATATTAACAATAGAATAAGTGAAAATAGATTCGACTACTTTAAAAAGATCTGAAAACAGCTTGCTTTGTTTAATGCACGTTCGTTCCATTGGTTTTTGTTCTTTTGCGTTTATTGACGATGAGAGTCTAAAAATTTTCTCTTGTTTATTTTTTATTATTTTTAGACAAGTAAAAGGACCTTGCTTCTTACACATTAGTTTGATATAAATATAAAATATTATATAGATTTCACTATTGGGTTCTCATTTTTGTCTTTTAGATTTTCTTTTCCCCTGTGATTTCTCTTCTATTAGGAATGAAAAAATGATAAAAATTATTAAACACTAAATAGTATGTATCTGTCATGTTTTTTTTTCTTTTTTATTGAAAAATATATGATTGAACAGTGGAAATCTTGTAAAATTCTTTGTACAAGTTGCAAATGTTTAATTTAAATAACAAAGGACTAGAGAAAATAAATAATAAGCTGCTAATAGCGAAGCAGTTTGTGGATGAAAGTATCCTAGTCAATAATACGAATCTTTCTTTTTCCATCGTTAAAAGCCTTTGAAAGCTTTTGGTTGTTTTGGTTATTGGAAATATATTTTTATCGCTAAAACTTTTAGACATACGCTATATATCGCGAACTATTGAATACATAATTCATTTAGTTTTGCTACTGATTTTTGTTTATACAAACCCTTCATAATATCTTTTTTTTGAAGTTATATTTACCCAATTGAGTTCGGTTTATTGACAAAGTAATCATGAGCACACAGTAGCACAAGGTCAAAAAGGAAAAATATGGCTAATACAGAAATGTAAGGTAAGTGTGATATATTCTGTCGCGCACCCATATTGTTTAGGTGCTTACTCATGGTTGGCACAAAATAAAATGTACAAGTAAGAGTGGATCAGTGCGTCTGTTATAAGAGAAAGTGTACAAATAAATAAGAAGAAAATTTTAAAAAACGGACGATGTAAATCGAGCAATGCTAAAAATTACAAAAATGTAAAAAAGGTGAGCATTGATCTGAAATAGCAAAGAGATAAAGCTCAAATTGAAAGATAAAAATACATTATTAAAAAATAACGTTCAAATATCACTGTGTTATTCTTCCATAGAAGTTATGTTTTTAGAGGAAGTTCATAAATGGTTCCCCATACTTCGAAGCCGCCGAATCCCATTGTTATAAATCCATGATGAGACAATGGTCCATTGATAACTAGTCTTAAAAATTTAAACGGATGTAAACGTTGTTCATCGATATCCCACGATGTTGTTCCATTCATTACTTGGGAAACAGTTGAATCATCAACATGTTCTTTGATTATCGTCCAATTTAATTCATCATTTGATCCTAATAAATTCCAAGTTCGAAGAAAATAACTGTCATAGATGTATGAATTTCTAATACAATATTTTGATGGTTTTATACGATAATTTTTAAAATCAAATTGTATCCATCCATTCATTTTTTCACCACCTGTCCATGAATCACCTTGTTCACGATCGACTAGTGTACTCGTTGTGTCAACATTGCTAAAATGGGATGATTGAGTTATCGCTATTTTTCCACTAACAACCGGATTGATATAGACATTCGATGATGGATTTTCATTTGTACCGATCCAATAGATAATACCGTTTGTATCGAAATCTGATTCATAATATAACCGATCTTTTAATAACAAACCTTCCTTGCCAGCTAAAACAGGATATTTGTTTGGATTAATTAGATTTATTAGAAAACATAGATCATTACATTCTAACGACTAATCCAGATGGGCGATCACGATCAGGCAGGGAAGGAGGCAACCCCTCCCTCAAATTTCTGACTTTCCGTAAAAGGTTTTGCCTTGACTTTCTGTCGTGGAAAATGTAGCAGCGGCATAAAAAACTGCTTTTTGTCAACTTTTCTGTGATAATCTTCCGCGTAGGCGTGCAAATACGAATATGGTCTCTTTTATACTACTTGAAAATCTGTTTTTCTTTTCTAAGTATTTCACGTCTGACTGGTTTATTTTATCCGAACGAAAAGTAGAACAAGCTCAGATAAAGTTATTCTATTTTTGCTCCATTACTTTCCGCAAGATATTTTCATCAGCTTTCCGTTAGATATAAAGCGCTTCTCCTTGGCCAAAAAACAATCGAAATACCAGGTCCAGATTAAGTTCCAGGACTTTGAAAGGTTATTTTCTTAGGTTAATCTTGATCAAAAAATTTCGTTTAAATGCTAAAATTGCGTAGATTTTAGTCATATACTTCTTTCGAATAAGTATTTGTCGTCGTACAGCATTAAAAATACTGAAAGCCACAAAAAACCAGAGTTGTTTAGCACTATGCATAGAATAAAGTGTAATTTTTAGTCGTCAAACTAGTTTTGTTGCGTGATTCAAACAAGGCATTAAAAATTAGAATCAAGTCTTAATATTTCGAGGCCCCAAAACAAACTTTTGGGACGATATTTAATGGTCGTAGAAATCGAAAATATATCTCTTTATTAGCCCTTCGACACCTTTCATTCTATAAGTAAACATCGCAACTTTGTCATTTATTATCACAAACAGTCAACCTATGGGAAGATTGACATCTACTAAACTTCAACATTCTTCATCGGTGCATATTAAAAAAAAAATTTTATTCGTCAATTTTTGCAAAACACTGCCAAGAATAAGTATCATCTCATTGGTCGAAGATGTTTTTTAATGTTTTGAATAAGAAAGCAGGAACAAACATACCATTAGATACACCGAGAAATTCTGCATCTTTTTTTTACTAAACCTGAATTTTTACACTTATCTGACTGAACAAAAATTTGTTTTCAAAACTTTCTAATTCTTCAGTTGAGCAACTCTGCTTTTTATGGCTTTCTAAACTTCTAATATTGTAGAAAAATGGCAAATACTTATTTCAAAAAGAATATATGACTAAAATCGGCACAAAATTTTCTATCTTTTAGCATTTAAACGAAATTTTCTGGTCAAGGTTAACCTAGGAAAAGAACTTTGCAAAGGCCTTCGATTTAATCTGGATCACTCGTTATTAATACCTCGTGGTTTTGTACGATGATGTTTCTTTGCATCGGCAAATATTTTCCAATTTTCTACTTTATCTTTTTCATCAATAAAATTTGTCAGTTGAAAAAAGTCTGCATTTTCATCGTCATCGTCCGGCTCAGAATCATTCTTATCGATCTCAATAAACTGCCTTGTTGGTTGTTGTGATGTTGATACTTCAACATACTGATACAATGCGGCTTTGTAAGCTAATGCTTCATCTATAAATTTTTTTGGAACAAAACGATCTGGATCATTTGATGATGAATATTTATCTTTTATAATGAAAAGGTCTTTAAAATTCATAATAGGAAAACGTATATAAGAAATGAGTCGTTTACGCATTTTCTCATAAGACAATGAATCTTTTCTTTCGGTATGCGATTGATTTGAACTAGTTGTCGTTTTATTGCCTAAATGAGGACAAACATTATTTTGAATGAATTAAACCAGCGAGTAGAGATTGTTATTTTTCTTTGTTGAACTTAAGTTACCTTGCTTTATTTCTTGTTGGTTTTTACGTGCATTTGTAAGCCATTTGATAACGCCCTCAAAGAGCACATATTCATCAACGTAGAGTCCATCATATTTTACAATTAATAACAATACATCATAGGATATGACCAGAAATTTTTCATCGAACAATCCTGATAGATTCGTAGCCAAATACGACAAACACAATTGATAAATATCGCTATGATTATAATTTACTGACCAATGAATTAAATCATAGACATTACTTGCATTAATAGATTTTTGAACAAATAATGTACACATTAGTTTTAATTCAGTAACGAGATATTGATTAGCGAGAGAATACATATCGACAACATTTTCTTCAGTTATTTTTTCAATTGTTCCAGAATAGAGAAAATTGAGTAATAAATGAAATGATTCCAAAGATGGTATTTGTTCTAAATGAATTACTTTTAATTGTTTTTCACTTGTTTGTAATGTAGTCGATTTGTTATCATCGAATTCGAATAATGCACAAAAATACTGACTACGTGATACTAAGATAGAAGAATGAGCATAAGCAACGCCATCTTGTTCAGTTGACGAGACCGGCCTAATAAAGAGAAAGAGTGTGAGTATTAGTAGAATAACACAGTTTTTCAGACAGTGAAAGATTGTTACTAATCGAAAAATATTGATATTAAAGTTTTTTCTATTTCAAAGTCAAAAGAGTGATAATACAAATAGATATTTTTACGTGTCTGTTGTTGATGTTCCATTTATCTTCAATGTGTGCAAAATAAATTTGACATCAGCAGTTTTATGTAAAACATTTGCAACATCTTGAGTGTATTCATAGAGTTTTGTCAAATCGTTTGATAATGTTCGCAATATCTGAATTTGTACTTTTTCACGATTTTTTTTTACATCTCCAAGTGGAACTCCACTATCCAAATCATAAAGAATATCAGTTGATATTAAATCCTTTGGTGTTTGAGACGATGATGAACCCATAATGATCGTATAATTTTACAAACGGTTCACATATAACTTGAAATATGGTTAGAACATCGATTTGAGTCGAAGCTAAATAGCCGATAGTCAGTTTCATGACATTTTTGTAGTTGATTAGCGAAGAATTGCTTAATTCACTAATTTACCTTGTAATTAACCTTCCATCTATTTTGTAATTGGTTGATAAATCGTCCAATGTTCTGAGGCGGAGCTACTGGGAAATAAATATAGATAACAAATCAAACTCGGTCTTTGATTACGGGTACCTTTACTAATGTAGGTAAAGAGAAAATGAAAAGTAAATTGTCTTATGAAATTAGAATTCCAATTAGGGCTAAATTATAAGGTTTTAGTTTATTTCATAAACGTCTTTGACTATCTTGTTCTTGTCTTTTTAATTGGAAAAAAAGAAGAGTATTAATCTTCTGTTCGTCGTAAATACTTTAGACTTGTACAGTTTTCAAAATTTATCATCGTCTAAGTCCTATTTCTCTTTTTTATATTATTCATCGTCCTCACTACTCATCTTTACGTCTTCATCACTCTAAATATGTTCGCATTCCATCTACTGTTGATGGTTTTTCTCCGCAAGGTTTGTTTTTATTCAACTGTTGCTGATTTGAATAATCTCCCAGAGACAATTATTCGTCTTTCTTCTTTAATGTCTTTCAAAACAGTTTTACTTCCGTATCTCTTCCAGTGAAACGTTCGTCAGTTAAGAATTTATATTTGTTCTTTTTTGCTTATTTTTTAAAAATTTCTTTTACTATCTCTGGTTCTAACCTTAGTTGTCTTTATTTTGTTCTTTTTTATGACTCTTTTGGTGTTGTTTGGCTTGAGTCATTGTTATTACAAGTCGGTGACCTTTGATGACTCTCACTTTTCGTGAATAAAACAGTTTTAGTCTTAGTCTATTCCTGGATTCAACAGTAGAACTGACAAAACTCTTTTAACCGTACTTCAAAAAATATAACTGAATCTCTTTGTTGGACTACTCATAGTTTGACAAATTTCCTTCCAGATGTCTTCCAGAGAAAATGTCACAGCAGTAGAACTCGATCGTCAATTAGATCAGTTTATCGACACACTAATTGAAAAAAATAAAGCAGATCCACAGCCGCCAACTGAAATTAATGACGATTGGTGGAATGTAAGTAAAAATTTGTTCACGTGCAATATCATAGGAATCTGAATATTTATTGTTCTTTAACACTATACCAGTAATCTGATTATATGGTCTTTAACGTGTCTCTTCTAGGATCTACAACGACATCCATTTTTTCTAAAAGAAATGCCAGAAGATGGAAGTGAATTACATCCGGCAGTAGAAGCGTTACAAGCGTTAAAATGGGACGATGTTGATGATACACCGAAAGGTAAAATCACTAGAATACAATGAAATTAATGATGATTTTTCTTTCATATAGAAAAGGCTGAAAAATTTAAAGAAGACGGCAATTATATGTTTCAATTGAAAAAGTATAAAAATTCCATTATATCCTATACAGAGGGTATTAAAATACGTTGTACTGATTCTCAATTAAATGCAATATTATTTTGTAATCGTGCATCAGCCAATTACCATTTGGGTAAGAAGAATTATCCATGTCAAGTGTTATAGATAATCCTTTTTCTGAAACAATTAGATGATTATCCATTGATATCACTTGCTTTGAAGTTGACATTTTTTTACTAGATTATTTATGAATATCTTAATTTCAAGGAACTTTACTCTAATATTATCCACATTGTTTTTTTTGTTCAGGAAACTATCGTTCGGCTCTTCGTGATTGTGTTTTATCACGAAAATGTAAATCTGATCATATTAAAGCATTTGTGAAGGGTATTTATTTGATGTATAGTTTTTAAACATACATTTTTTTTATGTTTGTTTATTATCTCTTAGGTGCTGAAGCTTGTATGAAATTACAAATGTATAAAGATGTTCAATCATGGTGTACGGCTGCTTTGTTAGTATCCTTTTCGGAAGTCATTATTTTGTGTGAATAATAAAGTCATTATTTTTCCTTAACAAAAGAAATGTTTTCAAACTTACCAAAATTAACTGAATTACGAGACAAAGCTGAACGATTACAGGTTTATTATTTGTATTAAAGTTAATTCGAATCTTTTATACCATTGTTTTTCTGTTTAGAAAGAACAAGAACGTGATGAACGAAAAAGACTTGTACGTGATAGAAAAAAGAAGACAGAAGAAGAGAAAATTTTAAACGCCATCAAGGTACGTTGTGCTTTTATTTTCTTTAGAGTAAAATTATTAATTTAATTTATAGAATCGATCAATTCATTTACAAACTGATCCAAGTATTGATATTTTTGATCCTAATTCATCTCCACTTGGTTCTAGTATTAAATTGAATGATGAAGATGACACATTGATATTTCCAGTTGTAATTTTATATCCAGAATATAGTCAAACAGATTATGTTAAAGAATTTCATGAACAGTCAAGGTGTGAGACATTGAAATCATTTTGTTTTTGAGAAAATAATAATGTTTAATCTTTGTTTTTTAAAGAATATCCGATCATTTAAATATAATCTTAGAATCTCGACCTCCATGGGATACCAATGGGGAATATACATTAGATCGTATTGGGGCATGTATCATATTACTTTTAAACGTCTGTTGCCGTTATGAAATATCACTTCCATTTTTCTAGGTCTATTATGAAGATCGTCATAGACATGAATTAAAGAAGATCGATCCAAATGAAACTCTGTTAAATGTATTAAAAATGCCCGGGTACGTACGAGATTTTCAGATTTTTCATTTTAATCATTAGTATTTCCCTATTTTCTAATTATTTTCATTCTCGAACATCAATAGATAAAGTAACATTGTCTTACGAATTTTTCAAGGCAATAAAAATATTTTGTTTTCTTATTTAAAATTTTGTTTTCTTTTACTTTTATAATAGATTCGTAGTTCAAGTTGGAATGCCGAGTTTTGTTATTCTGGTAGAAAATTCACCATTTGCCAAACACTATATGAAAATGTTTTCCGAGTTTTGAACAATTATCTTTTAATATTGTTTTTTGTTTGTTTTTTATCTGAAATAAAACGAAAAACATTAAAAAATGTTTCCTCTGTGTCTTTATTTTGAACTATTATCATCTAAATACTTATCTTTCGTCAAAGTTTTTCACACAAGAACTAGTTCAAACTCGTAACAGAGAGATTTTAGTAAACTGTCGATTCGTTTTTAACCGTTCTGTCCTATTGATTTACTCTTATCAATGAACAATGGAATTAGACATGAGTGATTTGATATTTTTATTTTCTATATGTGCAACAATGTTTTATTCTAAACGAATGTTTAAACTTTCTTATACGAAATGTTTCTAGTCTATTTTTTCGTATAGCATTAGTTTGACTGGCAGAACCCTGTGAGAAGGATTATAAATTGATCCCTTCTTATAAATGATCTTAAAAGTGTGTAAGCAATGATAAATTCTTTTTGGTCTTTCTAGTTGTGTACGCGTGCAAATATGATATAAGAAAAATGCTTTTCATAGATGGGAGAAAACATCTTTAATGGGAGGTGAAAGAACAGACGAATTGTAACAATTGAAGTGTTCAAAGTTACTAAAAATCATTTGGAATTACTCGTTGCAAAATCTTTTAGGACAAAAGAACCATATGAACCTCTGTGTAGGTATGTGTTTGTTGCATCCATCTTTCAATAATTGAGGAATAACCATCGTTAGATTTAACTCAATGTTGTACTACCGTCAATAATACTATTATGTTGATCTACTTTTTTTAATGGTTAAAATCAATTTGACTGTACCGAGTGAGCCATTCTAAAGTTATATAGTATATTGATAGGTCAACAAGAGAAGTAATTTGAATATATACTCGCGTATACCATGTAAAATGACTTTTATATCGTACTCTTGTACATGAGTTGTTAGCCTTTTTAACTATAATTTTGAACTTTTTATAAACAAAAAGAAAAGCGTTTTGTTGAGCTATCATTTTTCATATTTTCAGATGTTATTCAGCTATATGATTGACTGAATGAAGAGTCCATTCTTCTTTTTCTTCTATCGCATTTATATGAGAAAAGTAAACGTAAGAACATGTAAAGTTGACATAATCTTTGTTATATGTCAGACTGATAACATGCACAATATCAACGCTCATCGTAAGATTTTTTTCTTAAAGAAATATATATAAATTATAATCAGTGAGGATTGAATAATGATGACATAGTTTTGCACAGTCGATAGTTTTTGAAAGGAAAAAAACAATGGATAAATTTCAGAAACGGTTTATGTGATTGATAGAATTTTATAAAACAAGAAGAAGAAGATGGCTTCTTTTTCTTTTTTGTTAATGAGAAGAAAGACATATGATTAATGAGATCTACTCAATAGAAGAGAAGTAGGAAGAGGAAAAAAAGAGAGTAGATATATGGTTATCTTAAAGAGAAAACAGCACGTTATTTATTTAATAATTAAAAACATGATCTTATTAGAATTCATGACTAACAGATCCTGTAGAATCTCGTTAGTTAAATATTACGTTGCTATTCTGAAAGAAACATTATTGAATGGTCTTTATATAAATAAATACATATTGTTGACAAATTTTTAGTGAAGATAAAGAAGAAAAAAAATTAATGTTTTATGCATGATCGAAAGATGTGGAACATCTATCATTCTGATTAATTGAACATTTTCTGGTGCGTATAAACAATAATTATTTTTTAGTCTATAAACAGCAGAAAAAAATCTCGATGTTTTTTTTATGGTTCATATAACATATATCCAATGCAATGATATCAATCAAAATACAATGAAAAAATAAAAATGAATAACTGTTGCTTGGTTCAATAAAGTTTCTTGTACAGATGAAAATAATATGATGTGTATATGTGTGTGTGTGTGTGTGTGTGTGTATACATTTCATTCGTGGTATAATCATTAATATCGTGTGTCTGTTTATCATTTGTACTCTTATAGTTGTATCCTTGATCGTTACTGATTTTTCTTTTTATAACTAGAGAGCAAGACTAGCGAAGAAAAATATAGTTTATTAATCGGTTTTATTCTTATGTTTTACTATGTATATATCCTCCTATATTCGACATGATTTATATATGTACAATAGTATCTATTAATACATTTTTTTTTTCTTTTTGTGATGTTAACGTAGATTGAAAATTCTATTATTATCTATTAGTGAATGACAATTAGACCAAAAATACCATAAATATATTATTTTTTTTTATAACATATTTGGCAGAAAAAATTTAAAAAAAAGAAAAAGATAACATAACGATTAATAAATGAGGAAGAAGAATAAATACTTTTAATAGTATTAGATAATCTTCATGTATATCATCATAAACTAATCGAATTTGTTTGGATTCTAATGAATATATAACGTTTACTAAAGAAATATTATCACATTGACAGTATATAAACTCATTTGCACAATATACTACTCTTTAAATCTATCTTTTTTTTTTGAGAAAATAAAGACCATTTGCTTTGGTATATCTCTTTGTTATTGTTTCATTCTTTGTTTGGACTTAAATTCTCTCATTTTATATATGATAACATGGTTTGTACTGTTCGAATTTTTGACTTTTAATAAATATTTTGACATATAGAAAATAAAAAAAGAAATTTATTATAAAACAGAAACGAAAATTGTTGTTATTAGATGTTACAATTATGTGTATATGTGTTATGGTTGCATCAGCATTTACTATTATATGTTTTCCATATGTGTAAGTGAGTGTGTCTTGATCGTCGTCGTTATGGTCTCTGAACAGTCAATCAAGTCAAAAAAGAAGCTCAGTTTACAGTTATAATTACGTTTTTCTTGGGTTTTTTTTTTCTCCTTCTTTCGTTCTTTCTTTCTCTCTATATGTACAAAACTATAACTGTGTATCAAAACGATAAAAATCTGTTCAAATCGTAGTATTTATGCCTCCCAATTTGGTAGTTCTCTCTCTTTTTACTCTCTTTTTTTTATGATTGACATGTCCAAATTCAAATAGAGAAGATGAATACAACAGCATGGATCATTCTAATTTTTTGTAAAATTTTTCTATTGTGTAGAGTATTGTTTAAAAAATCGATGATGGTTAAAAATAATATTCACTTCTTTTCTATGATGTATCCTATACGATATTATTATTATAAACTATAGTGAAGGTACAATATTCAGTAAGAGAAAAGAATTGAAAAAAGAGAGAAAGCAAAAAATAATGTTAAGTAACGAGCGAGAGAAAGAGACATGACTAAAAGATACTCCATAGTTATGTAAAAATCGATCTGATGTAGTATATACTACTCACGTCATTCGTATTACTGTTTTTAAAATACACATGTATAAGACCTCGGTCAGCTGTAGACAGTGTTGAACAACTTATATTATTCAATTGATTTAACTATTCTCTATTTAATTATTCGTCTATATATATATATATATATGTGTATGTATATCTATAGAGAGAGAGCAAGTGAATGACAATAACAGGTAAACAGAACAATGTGTGTGTGTATATATATATATGTTTAGGCTAGTCTTGTTTCTAAAGATAAAATTGTGATATAAAGGCAAATAGTGATTGATATTAGTTTAAAAGTATGAGATGAAAAAACTTTGTCTGATCATGAAGAACCATTGATATTATATTTTAATAATTAAAATAAATCTGACTATTTTTTTTAGATGATCTATTTTCTAATGGGATGAATGAATCTTACAATACAGTGCAAAAGCCTGATTCTTCCACTTCCTCTTTTAAATCGGAAGATGAAGATAGGTAAAAAAAATTTATTATAAACAATGAAAGTTGATTCTATCAAAACTCTTGAAATGGTAATGCGCTTTTGTGTTTTGTTTTTTTATTTAAAAGTTGGATGTTTGAAAATATTAGTCGAGAAGAAGCAGTCAGTATGTTATTAGATCAAACAGATGGAACGTTTCTTGTACGACAAAGTGGAACAATTAAGGGCGATCTTGTTTTATGTGTCAAGTACGTAATATTTATCATAAATTTTTAAAATTTATATTAAATAACTGATTTTATTTACAATTTATGTTTAGAGAAGGCTCTAAAGTCAGTCACTATATTATTAATCGTCGAAATAATCATGATGATTTAAAAAATCAGTTAACGTATAAAATTGGTGATAAAATATTTTCATCCATGTCGGAATTACTCAGCTTTTATAAACAACGTTTATTGGATACATCAACACTCATCAGAATTGTATGTCAAATAAAGATCATATTTTTTTCTAATTCTATTTTTATTCTATTTTAGTATCCAAAACCTCGTGTGCGTTGTAAATTCAATTTTATGGGAAAAGTACGTTCTTTATAGATTGATTTATAACTTCTAGTATAATATTTTTTCTTGTGTAGGATGAAGAAGATTTACCTTTTAAAAAGGGAGAAATATTAATGATTGTTAGAAAGGATGAAGAATTTTGGTGGACGGCAAAAAATGTGCACAATGAAAAAGGTTTAATACCCGCAAATTATGTTGAATTTATTTGGTATGTTATCTACTGCTAGTAAACTAAACAATGTTTTCATTCAATTTAGTGGATGAAGAACTTTTCTAGGCACTAAAAATGAGTTTCTTTTTCGTAAATCGTTAAGCTAAAGTTAGTTGAATAAAAATCAGTGTGTTCCTCGATCAAAGGAGGGGAAGGAGGCGGGCAGGAGGTTTTGGTACTGAGTTAGAAAGGCAATCATAATGTTCTGAAACTCGTACATTATGCGCAGTCATGAGAGTGCACGTTTCGATTTGTAGTCATTTCTGTTATACTTTCTCCATCTAAACTTAGTCTCACTACAAACTCAACATTGACACTGTTTATCTATTTCATAACAAATTCTATTCTGAAAGAAATTTACAATTGTCAATAAAAATTTAAATTAAATAACTTTGAACTTTATGGATTATATTTTAGAAATGATGAAAATTGCTTCTGATGATAATTTTTATTTTAATGAACTATTGATTTATGACACCCTTATGAATGATAATTGTTTATTGATGCATAATTCATGTTGTTTCGGATGACACATGAAAAGTTTTTGTCCGTCCGTATTTCATAACAGTTTGGTCATGATGATAAAGTACGTCGTTTTTCATGCAGTAATTTTTGAACATATTTGCGAATACAGCGCATTTATTTTTATTGATTTTATTATCTAAAAATTATTTGTATGTTTCTTTCTACAATTTTATTCGAGAAAGAGCGAATTTTTTTTTCTTCTACAGTTTGTTACTACAATGTTTGTCTCGTCATAAAAAAGAACAATCGATAACATATCAGTACAGTGAGCAATTTTCTTTTTTGCTTTTATTTATAATAATATTTTTAGTATAATGATCATAGATTTTTAATAGTCTTTAATATCGTCATGTTGCCTTATGCTCTTCGTAACAAAATTTTCTTTTTGATTTTTCGTGTGTTTACTTTTTATTATTTAGAACATATGTTTGTTTTGTCTGACTAATTGTACTTCTATTTTGTTGAAAAATGCGGCAATACATATTGTAAATAACTGTTGATTACTTACCTATAACAAAAGCAGTGATAAAAGTGAATCTCGAAAATACGTAACCATTGACAATGGACTACTATTTCGTTTAAAGATCATGATGAAAAATTGCTTCAACGTTATATTATAAAACTTGTTCGTTAATTTTTGATATATGGTTCGAGGTTCTTTTAAACAAAGTGTTCACTACCCATAAAACATTGGTAAGGAGGAGGGAGGCGACACTCCTGCATTGATAATAGGAACTACTATCGTACCGTAATAGATTCTAGTTGGTTTGAACGCGATATCGTTAATAAACACACTTGACTGTAAAATAGTTTCAGCCATTTCCAAAAAATATGGTCTCGGATACTTTTTCAATGAGCTTTGGTAAACGAATAATAGATGTCTGTGATTTTTAGCCTTGTGTAGCCAGTATTTGACCACATTAACTGCTCAAATCAAGACGAAACCCGAAGGTGATGGATTCCATGAGTCTTTTC